TAGATATTATATTGACCACACATTTGCAAAGAATGTTTTATATTTTAATGATACCGTCAAGTAGCAGACACCTTCGTTATTGAGGTTGAACAAATATTAGCGGAGCTCCACGCGCGCGCGTGGGCGGAGTCCCATAGCTAAGTAATTCTACCCATCCCAGACACGTGACCGTACACCGGCCGCCGACCGTCCGTCCGCACCACAGGAAAACCAATGTTTACTCTCACATTTTAGCCAGTTTGGGAGCCCAAGAGAAAACTAATTAACATCAATGTATTCATCAATGTTGTGATCAATTGACAGCTATCAAAACAGGGTATCCGCTGACCAGTATCACCTGACCGTATCGCGGGCTCAAGTGTCGACCCATCGAGGTCGATTATTTTTTGAAGTTATCCGCCGACAAATTACCAGTTTTAAGTGATCGCAGGCTCAAGTTTATTTTTTCCAAGGATTCTTATCAAATATGTTTTGTTTATGTCACTATGGCCCCGCATTATTAGGATTTTGATTTCAAACTGACCTCGGAAGCGAAAATTCAGCCAGTTTTTTTTTAAAGTACAGGCGGGAAGACCTTTTCTTACCATGGTCACGCGTTGGTCACGCTCTACGTCCAATTTTTATACTCTGATTGGTCAAAATTTGACTGGTGAGTTCATGAGGAAAAATTGTGCAGCATCTTGAAAGTTGTTTACTTTGACAGCTGAAGCTGACAGAGTTTTGTGTCAACTTGTGATGTTTTTAACCGTCTTTTTCCTCTGGTTGTACTAAAATAAATACAGCTGCTATCAAGAGTCTTCTGTTATTCATGGCTGATTTGTTTACTGGGTTTTTGGTTGAGAAATGCGTCGCTTGTCAAAATTCGGTAATTCGGTTTCGGATGGTATCGTTTTTGTTTTTCACCTTGCTTAATGCGTAAGAGGGTTTAAAAGTCTCAAGCAACTGTGGCCTTCCTTGATAGCTTTCAGGAACTGAATCTCGAAAGGTAAGCCTAAGTAATTATTGTATTTGATGATTGTTTTTGTTACTCTAATTTCATGAAGTCTTGCACAATTCACGCTGACAGTTTATGCGGCAAGTTTATGCACGTTTGTAGGATTTGAGTCACTGATCTGACCTAGTATCAGGTTTGATATAAGCTTACAAAACTTTAAAAAGCCTTGGCTTCAGATATATTTGCTCACCACAAATAGAAAGAAAACTTTCCGAAGAATACTTAGTTATAAATTTGGCTGTAGAAAGAAAACTTTGAGCGATTTTCTTGCTTCGAGGAGTTCACCTTCGAAAACAGTAAACACCGCGCCGGGAAACAGGCTTAAGCTTTACGCTTAAAGACTCAGGATGTTTAGAGACACTTTAATACTTGTCTTCGTGAATGAAAATTGTTGTCTCTGTAAATGTTTCACCGAATTATATTTCTTTTTTTGATTGTTAGTAGTCTCTCTTGCAATTTTAATCGCTTGTCCGTGCCGTTTGTTTTCATCGTTCATGAACATCGCTTGCAGGAGTACTCAAAAATGTCGCGCGTACGTATCAAACGCTTTATAAGATTACACATCGTTATAACTGAAACCATTAAATAACAAACAAAATAATAATAAATTCGCTATTATGTTGAAGCGTAACTCTATTAAAGTTCATTCAAACTCTCGACCACACTGACAGCTCGCTCTATAGAAACGAGAACCAGCTGGCCGTATGGGTGATTTTGGACATTTTTGAACGGTTTCAAAGCCCGCGATTTATCGTCCTGAATATTGACTGAGTGCAATTTGTCTTGAAAAATTGTGAAATACCGCATTCTGCCCGAGGTCTGTATGATAAATAGTACTGTTTCACCTCAAATGTGATGTATAAAAATTATAAAATGTTGGTTTAAACACCCCCAGATTTGTTGGCAAGAATTTGTAAAGTAAACCTGTCGAACGCAAAAAAATTTGGCGTGATTTGTTTTCCAAGAATTTGTTTTCGAGGTCTAATTTTTTGGGTGTACATATAAGGTTATCAATTCGATGTAAGATGTTTCACTCTAAAATAACTTAGCCTTTCCCTCAAAAGTCACATGAATGTGCCCTTAAGTTAACTGATTTGTGGATTAAACGTTTATTGTTTGATTTAAATTATAAGTTATTAATTTTGCTTCGCTTTTAGCCCTGGCTAAATCTATATGTTAATACATCTGTAATGGCTGAAAAATATTTTGGTTACTTGTTCACGTTGAAATGCAAACTAAAAGCCAATGTTCACTGATATAATCCGACGCCTTGAAATAGCTGAATGAGTGTATTATTGAACTTATTAATAAGCAAAGAGTACATAACCGGGAATTGTTTTCCTCTGGTTATAATCCGCCGTAAATAACTTTAAATGAAGAAAACAAGTGGATACGCCGAATTTATTCCACTTCTAATTGCATTACAAGTGAGGTAAAGGAAAGAGCAATGTTTCCCATTGTAATATCATAGGTGACGAAATACTCCTTAATTTTGGCGCGAAATTTCAGCGTTAATTTGTAATTTCACATGTGAAATTACTAAATTGCCATGGCAACCTGCCGTACGTTTCCGTCTCAAGATGGCGACGAAGTTTTAAAATGTTATAAATGAAGATGTCAGGGCATAAAAAGGCGCTTTAGAAAACCTGAACACACGAAAGAGCACATCAAGAAGGATTCTTAGAGGTATGTTCTCGAAACTGAATTCTGAAAACTTAAGCCAAATTTCTGCTCTAAACGTTTGAGAGAGTGGAGTTCACGATCGATCGATACGATCCAGGATAAACAAGTCAAACATCCTCGATTGCTAAGGTAATTCGTCACCCATGATATTAATAGGTAATCAAATGGTATAGTCGTGAAATTAGGGAATAATTTCACTTGCGTTTTGTCCAAATCCTAATAAATTCCCTTGCCTAAAGGCTCGGGAAATTATAAGGATTTGGACAAAACGCGCGTGAAATTATTCCCTAATTTCACTAGTCACCATTTGATTACACAGACAAATCAAACATGGTAAACGAACAAACAAATGATGGATGCGATTGATAGAACCTTTTTTAACACTCTTTATGCAATGCAGTAAGCTATAAACATAGGCAAAATTGAACGAAACGTCTTTCTCCTTTTTGTTGACCTGGCGCGTTTTGCGTTGAGTCTGCTCTGATGTCAAAAACAAGGAATCACGCGATTTAAGGTAAGACTTCGTTATCAAAACCCCTTGGGTTTTCGTTTGGCCTACTAAGTAATGGCGATGTGACGGAGCAGTGATAAGTCAAAAATGTTTAGTACGCCGGGGTGCGTCATTGTCGATCTAACATAGCGCGATTTGTATAATTTTGAATCTTTTGAAAAGAGTTAGGTTCAAAAAAAAAACACACACACAGAAGAAAAAAAGGCAAACATATTCGGCGTGGCGCACTTTATCATCATTTCAAGCCAATAATATGTACTTGGTAAAAGACATGAGATGCAGATGATCAGGCACTGTTTGAGGTATTTTACAAGATAAAATAGGATGTATTTAGCATCATGAAAATCATCATTATCAGCTCAATTTTGACCTTTAAAGACTTATTTAATATGCGAACTTTCAATCAATTACCACTGAGTCACTGAGCATTGATATTATGTGGCGAAGAATCAGACACTCGTTTTCTTGTATTTTCTAATTTTGAAACTGAATCGTATTACATTTTCATGCGAGAAACAAGTCTATTGAAGCAGACATTCAAACATATTAAAAAGCGATTCCTTTGCTGTAAGCAATTAGCCCCTAGAAATCAGTTTGCTAAACCCACTTTGAGTCTAGTCGAGTCATTTACTGGTCACTATATTACTGACCAAAAATCTTCGCTGCCTTCTATTTTTAATTCTAATTTGCAACTTCCTCATGCATGCATGGAAATGGAAGGCAAATTACCTATCATTAGTAATTCAAAAGAAAAATGCTATCAGTTAATTTTTTTTATTGACCATTATCTATTCAAAAATTTATGCTGTGATTGATTTTCATTTTTCGCTAATTTAAAAGAGTGAGAGGTACTTTTAGCGATAACATTCTCGGCACATTTATGGACAAGTGATATCTGTTCTCAGAAGTTACGGGTCCTTCAAGACGGCGAGTTACGCTTCCGGAGTTATACTGAGTTGAGTTACCTCAAAGTGAGTTCGGGGGTGCTGCACAATAGGGCATCGTTTTAGAGAATTTTACGCAAAAGTCCAGAAGGACAATTTTACTAAACAACTTTATTTTAACTCAACATGGATCCAAATAAAAAAATAAGAAACTCGGAAGGCTTTGAATTCTATTTGTGTATCTTATATCATGTATATTTAAAGGTTGTTTAGTTGTTGTTTTCAATGCATTTTCTTAATTTTAATTCTTTTTTTTTGTCATACACGAACCTTCAAGGATGCATTTCCTTTCAACAAAATTGTGTATACGTCCAACGTAATTGTTTGATGCGAAAAATGAATGTATGGACTCCGCATTAGGAGTACGGAATCTAAACACAACATTGGGTCATTATTAATACTTAAAGGCCAGACGTAATTCCACTATTAGTCAGGTTTTATTATAGGGGTAAATAAAATTTTATCTTACCAAAGCGTGGACGCGATACCCCTCACTTACAGTAGATCTAGCTCCTCGCGCAGTATGGACTGACACGTCGTATTCATACGTACATGTTGTTAAATGGCTCAGTCGAAGAAATTTCGCGTTGATTGTCTTTCCTTGCCAACTGCTTGCAAGTAGCGTAAAAACAAAAGCAAACAAGCAGCTGACGTACATTGCTGGGGCCCAAAAAAACTGCCTCGATGTTTTGCTTGCTACGTAAAAAAATGATAAAAGACCCTTGCAAAGAATTTTAGAAAAAAAAGAATGCCCAACAACCAATATCGTTTGTTTGGTTTCCGTTTAAGCTTCCACGAAATTGCGGTCTTACTGATTTGTAGTTTAGATAATTAAAGTCAGTGATGCATTAAATACGTCAGTACCTTGTTTTTCTCAAATCCGTTTTTAAAGTAACAGTGAAGAAAGGCTTGTAAACATTCTTCAAATCAACATATTGTTGGCTGCCCTTTATAAGGCAGGAAGGAACTTGTTCTTCAGAAGTTTTGAAGCTGGAAACATATACAACTACATACTTGCAACAAACCGCGAAGATGAATCGAGCTATGATGATAATCTGCCTCCTGCTTCTGTTAACGGAGGTAGATACCTGGAGAAGACGACGGCGACGGAGGGCCCCCCCGCCCTGCAGAGCTGTAAACTGTGTCGTCAGTAGCTGGACAGGTTGGAGTTTTTGCTCACATCAGTGCGGTACAAGCGGTACACAGGCACGTACACGGCAGCAAACGCACGCAACGTCCTGTGGCGGGACCTGTCCTTATCATTTACGCGAAACGCGAGCTTGCAACAGAGACCGCTGTCAACATGGTGGCACCCCTCAGAATTATGGCTGTAGTTGTAGAGCAGGATACGGTGGGACGTGTTGCGGGCAAGGTGAGTTATATAGGTGTTTTCGCTTGTAAAAGGATGGCAGTTGGAAACAATAATCATGATAAAACCTCAAAAGGGCAACTGAACAACAAATCTGTTGTGTCTGAAAGCAGACAGCACCTATAGCACTTTGACGGGTTTCTATTTCTTTCTTGTAAATCTACAGAATGGAGTTTTTTCATTTAACTTTGCAGGCTGTCACTCTCTCTTTTCCGTCTCACTATGTTCTCACAATATTAAGGTCCGGTCACAAGTAGAATCTCAACATTATTTATATTTATATTTATTTTTATTTATTCTCATTATTTAGAGTTACTGACTAAACAAACGAATATCAAATTGTTACACAGAAATTATCGAGAAGAGTATCGCATTCTAGATGACACCTAAGAGGATAATGTATAGTGTAATTATATCAAATGCAAAACGAAAACTAATCGATAATCAATGAGGTGCAATTAGGACGAAAGTTCTGTTGTGTATACGTCCAACGTAATTGTTTGATTCGAAAAATGAATGTATGGACTCCGCATTAGGAGTACGGAATCTAAACACAATATTGGGTCATTATTAATACTTAAAGGCCAGACGTAATTCCACTATTAGTCAGGTTTTATTATAGGGGTAAATAAAATTTTATCTTACCAAAGCGTGGACGCGATACCCCTCACTTACAGTAGATCTAGCTCCTCGCGCAGTATGGACTGACACTTCGTATTCATACGTACATGTTGTTAAATGGCTCAGTCGAAAAAATTTCGCGTTGATTGTCTTTCCTTGCCAACTGCTTGCAAGTAGAGTAAAAACAAAAGCAAACAGGCAGCTGACGTACATTGCTGGGGCCCAAAAAAACTGCCTCGATGTTTTGCTTGCTACGTAAAAAAATGATAAAAGAACTATGCAAAGAATTTTAGAAAAAAAAGAATGCCCAACAACCAATATCGTTTGTTTGGTTTCCGTTTAAGCTTCCACGAAATTGCGGTCTTACTGATTTGTGGCTTAGATAATTAAAGTGATGCATTAAATACGTCAGTACCTTGTTTTTCTCAAATCCGTTTTTAAAGTAACAGTGAAGAAAGGCTTGTAAACATTCTTCAAATCAACTTTTTTAAGCTGGAAACATATACAACTCGACTTCTTATAGCCGCAAAGTACATTTCCTGCCTGACAAGCCTACAAAAACGGGCTATAAACACTTTAGAGTTACTGACTAAACAAACGAATATCAAATTGTTACACAGAAATTATCGAAAAGAGTATCGCATTCTAGATGACACCTAAGAGGATAATGTATAGTGTAATTATATCAAATGCAAAACGAAAACTAATCGATAAAATCAAGGACATACATTTCCATAAAAGCAATTAATATCAACGGTTTATTAGAGTTGTTAGTATTTTACATGATGTAAAAATCCCATGCCAAAGACAACTCACATTCATTTGATAACTGCAGTCTTATTCGTGTAAACACTGATCTTATAACAAACTGTTTTCGTTCTTTAAAGGTCTGCATGGGATTGATAGAAGGTGGGTTTTGATAGAAAAACGGGTTGTCTTTTAATTTTCTAAACCTGATCAGTGAACTAGCAGTTTGGATTTTCTTTTGGGTTTTCTCATAGAAAGTATCTTGTGCTCACTTTTGACTTCTTGTTATTTTTTGCTGCTACTGGAACTGCTTGGCGGGATGAATCAGGTTTGGTATGCGGAAATTCGGAATAAGTCCACGCCAAAAAGAAAAAGATGATAAAAAAGTTATCCGAATTCCCGGATTCTTATGGGTGAAGGAATTCTCAAATTTTTATTAATAATATCATCTGTTTAATATGATACCAGATCAGAAAATCACTGAAGGAAAAGGCTCTCAATAGAACCCGTTACAACAAACAATGCCCGAATCTGCTGTACTTACTGCCTCGTTCCCGACCTTTTTCGAAGGCTTTGCGTTTCTATTACAACAACGAATCTCATCATCCAATTAAGTTTATCATCGTTTGCTTCGGGTTTTTCCTAACGCAGGAACTTGTCGTTACGTATGAATAGTTATATTTGCAATAGATGTATAGATGAGTTGCCTGAATTCAAGTTAGCTCGGTTATGATTTTGTTTTGATAGTTTGGCCGAAATTATTTGAAAGTACATTAAAGCGAATTTTTTTTTCAGTTAGAGCAACTCATACTGAATACTACGTCGCACTGTACTTTATTAATTGCTATCATGTTTTTCATTGTGCATCAGTAATTGTTCATACGGTACAAAAACAATTAAAAACCCGTTACGAAAAATTGAACTGATGAGTTAAATGCAACGAGCAAATAAAAGCAATGAATATATAACAGTTGACCCTTTGCAATGGCCTCAGTTCAATTGACAAAGTTTGTAGGGTTATATCTATAAACCCTTACATCCCAGTAACGCTATTGGTACCTTCTACTTTACTATCATGTACTGTTCCAGTTTCAGACTTTTTTAAAAGTACTCTCGAGAATAATCAATCATGCACTATCAGTTACTTCATTGGGATAATTCTAATTAAATGACTTGTAGCTTACCAAAGCATGAACGCGGTATCCCTCACTCGCTATAGACTTGGCTCCTCTCGCAGTATGGACTGACACTTCATAATCATATGTACAAGTTGTTAAATGGCTCAGTCGCAGAAATTGCGCATTGATTGTCTTTCCTTGCAAACTTTTTGCAAGTAGAGTAAGGACACAAGCAAGAAGGCACTTAATGTACATTGCAAGGGCCGAAATAAGCTTCCTCGGCTAGCTTCGGCTTTTACTATTTTCTAATCACAACTGCCCTTTATTGAACAATGCAGCTAATTCAGCTGCAACGGCTTTTTTTCTTCGCCCACATCCACGGAACGCGGTTTTATTCCCGCCTTCCGTTTAAGCTTCCACAAAACGAGTCGTTTGTGTAAAAAGGCAACCAAATTTAACATAAACACCATTATTTTCACGCATCGATGTACAAAAATCAATGAAAAAACCTCAGATTAAATAATTACAATTGTCTAAGAGAAACCCAGTTGTGACGCAACTAGCTTCAGCGAAAACAGGAACTCTGTAAGTTATAATTAAACTAGGCGTTCTGGCTCCAGTTGTTCAAACGTTTTTTAGCGCTATTCAAGAGATTATAATTAAACGTGATTGGCGTTCTGGCTTTATTTATAGCCAGAACAACTTGTTAATTTCAGAAAATTTCATTAAATAGCATTACTGCTGTGTCTATTACTTTCAATTAATAATACAACAAATTCCCCGAAGCTGAAACAGGATGACTTCCTCTTCTCGCATGGCTAAATTGCTTTAAAATAACAGAATTTGTAAGTAAGTACGAGTGTTTACCATGGCTAAAATAAAATTAGCGGCTGAAAAACCGGGCTAAATGAAAACAGCAAAAAACCCAAGCTTTAACTTTTTTAAATGTTACAGTTAGATACAAAAGAATGTAGGCATCGTAAGAAATCAATTCAAGCAAGAAAATTTTAAAGCGAAGGCTAAAGGTTATACTAATGAAAGTGATTAGAATCTATTTACCAACAAAATAGCGCAAAAATTGTAAGGTATTGATTTTCATGTAAAGATTCCTCAGAAGTACCAGAAAAAGCGCATGGAGAAGACGAACTTATTCACGCGTGGACAAACACCGAAAGCGGAAGTTTTCAATTTTGCATTAATTTAGTGTACTGTGATTTAAAAAGAGCGATCGTCTAAAACCAGAACCAATCATTTTTAAAGTAGCCTGTGCCAGTATTGCAAAACAAACATGAAAAGAACTTTCATTATAATTTGCGCACTGCTTTTGATTATGGAGGCAAATTCCTTTTTCTGGCGAAGAAGAAGACGACGGAGGTCTCCTCCGCCTTGCAGCGCTTTAAATTGTCTCGTCGATAGCTGGACAAGTTGGAGTTCTTGCTCGCATCAGTGCGGTACTAGCGGTACACGGGAGAGGACACGGCAGCAAACGCGCGTCGCGTCCTGTGGTGGAACATGTCCTTACGAGTTACGGCAAACGGAAGCGTGCAACCGGGATTCCTGTCAAAACGGTGGCACTCCTCATAGCAGCGGCTGTAGTTGTAGAACGGGATATGGGGGAACCTGTTGCGGGCAAGGTGAGTGCATTTCACTCAAGCATTCTATATCTTTCTCTGTGAGACGGCAGTGTTAAGTGCGGGGGGGTGGGGGGGGAAGTCAGATCATGAGAGTCGGAGGTTAAGGCTTATCAGATTGAATCTACTTCCTTTAGAATATGTCAGAGAAATTTCAGATAAATTACTTTTTTTCAAATTTAGAAACAGCCTTACATCCACTGGCATTAGAAAATTCCTGCTCACGAACACAATCAGGATTATTGCAGAAAGCCATATTTCATTACGACTGCCGAGTTGTGAAAAGCTTGACAAAAGCGTTTCTCTTGATTAGCTGTGAAATATTCAAGGGGAAATAAAAATAACCAGGGGGGATTTAGAGGTGGGCCAGGAGGTCTCGGTCTCCCCTTTTGTCCGGGAATTTTTTCCCTTTTCTAAACGTGTGTCGGATGGTACTTCGAGCTTTGTTTAAGCGTCCAGAATGCACTAGATTGCATCTAAAAATTTTCCCGGAGGAGAACGCGCCCGAAACTCCCAAGAAAAGTGCGCCGTTCGCAGTCCTGATGGGTGCTTTCCACATTGCCACTGTATACCGTATATCTCGAGGCCCCCTCTATCACAAAATCCTCCTTCAACCCTGTTCAAAGGTTTTCTAATTTTATAATCTGAGCTTAGGGTAAGAGATTCGGTGTGAATAGATGACTTTCGCCAACCAACACTCTCTTTTTAACTCCTTCATTACATTTTCCTTTTTGGTAAAGAGATTGAAAAAGAACTTCTAAAACGGAGAAGGTTAGCTGTCTTCTAGTTCAATGCGGAAAAATTAACTATTTGGCATTTGAAGATCTTTAAATTAAACAAAACGATAATAGTATATCAAAACGCGTAAAGTGACGGAGGCATTGCATCAAAATGGTTAATATACGCGGTCGACGAATAGTTTTATGACTAATCAAACGTCTAAGGACGAGGGCGACTCCACCGACTGGGCCAGTGAAGAAATTATTGGCTAAGAAAACCACCTCCTTTCACGCAAGATTCGCGAGGCGATAAACATTCTTACTCGGAGCCTGGAAATGAACTGTGATCAGGGCAACTAGCTTCCCTCAATTTATGGAACAATTTTGCAGGCTCTTAAAACGAGTCCGCGAATAACAACAAACGTCATCACTGATGAAGGGATCCGTTCGTGTTAAAGAATACTTCTTTGCAAAACACCTACTACTATTCTTTTGGAGTTTAACTACCTGCAAGAAAGCTCAACCAGCCAATAGGCCCTTGCAGCGTGCAGTCAAGGAAGGTAAAATCACTTGGAAATTAGTCAAAAGGTAAATTTTGAGGTGACAGATGCAAAAGACCTAGATTTTTATGGGTATTTGAATGTCTAAAATATTTATGGACTTCCCACTTTTTGAATCACCATAAACCGGCCCTCTCTGAAAAGAGGTTTAAAAAAACTACTTGACATAAGCACTGTTTACGTTACTAAATTAAGGGCTTGATTTTTTTCTGTCTTCATATATTACTAAATTAAGGGCTTGATTTTTTTCTATCTTCATATATTGAGCCGAAGTTTGGCAAAACCAACAGTGACGCAGTGAAAAAATAACAATAAACAATTACTTTAAAAGCATAAAAAAAGGTATGCCATCTTAGAGTTATTGTGTATTAAATTCTTTAACCCGTATTTTAGCGTTCAATTGTGTTTGTTCGTTGTAGTATCGGGCTCTATCCTCTCAAAACCGGGAATTTCAAGACATGCAAAATCTATGATACAATCAAATCAATAGGTTCAGAATTATTTGAGTATTTGGTAATATGACTGACACTTTCATCAAGCACTTTGGATGAAGGAAAGAATATGCACATTGATATTGTGGTGTAAAGACTTCAACAAATCGAGTGCCCTCATTGATATCGTGGTTGTCAGACAGGTCACTTGTCAGTCAATACGCAAAGTGGAATAAATTCTTCCATTTTGCATTAATAGTTCTCTATGATTGTAAATGAAAACCTCAGAAAAGTAGGCAAAGTAGTCATTGCATGTAATCTATATGAAAATTAAATATGAAAAGAACTTTGATAATAATTTGCGTCCTTCTTTTGATGATGGAGGCAAATTCTTTCTGGGGAAGAAGAAGACGGCGACGGAGGGCCGCTCCCCCGCCCTGCAGCGCTGTTGACTGCCTCGTCAGTAGCTGGACAAGCTGGAGTTCCTGCTCGCATCAATGCGGTACTAGCGGTACACAGACACGAACGAGGCGGCTGACGCGGGCCGCTTCTTGTGGTGGAAGATGCCCTTTTTCTCTACGGCAAACGCGAGCTTGCAACCGAGATACCTGTCAAAATGGCGGTACTCCTCATAGTCGTGGCTGTAGCTGTCGACCGGGATATGGCGGAACGTGCTGTAACCAAGGTGAGTGCATGTCACTCCCACAAGTTTTTCGGCTTTGTATGTCAACCTACTACATGTAAGAAATGACTGCTCTTTTCAAAGCAGCGGCTGTAGCTGGTAGAGTTCGAGCGTGCTGTCGGCATGGTGATAATTGCGCATATCACTTCCACATTTTTATAGTGTTTCAGTCAATGGCAAAAGGAAAAAAGTAAGATGGTGGGAGTGAGATTACTGTTCTGTGCGGACGAAGGTTCCCGCCAAATTAACCTATTAGTAAGCGTTTCTTAGTTCAAGTTTCTTTCAAATGCATTTCTAAGACAAATAATCATGATAAATTGCTTCAATAACGTTGTTCCCAAACGCAAGCAAGCTTGCATGGAAAACATAGTTAACTTGATAAAACCTTTGAGCACTGAAGTATGACAGAACGGTAAGCTGTGGTGGAGGTTTTCTTTAAACTGTACGCACGAAAGAGTAGCTGTATGTAATCGCTTGGCTTCAACTTTAATAGAACCGTGAATAAAGGCTATCTAGAATTTTGTTTTGTGACTGTTGAAACCCTTACAACTGACATTTTAGGTGCCTCATAAGATGTCATACCTTTTATCACCCAAAGTATCAATTAAATTTTCATGTTGTTACTAAATCCCAGTTGATGTGGCCTTTAGAAAATGCGGCTGTAGGTTACATATCTAAGGTATTGTTTCAAATTATAACTTAAAATTAGGAGATGTACAAATTAAACTGACACGACGTCTCTTTAGCGCAGGCAATATTCTATAGTCTCAGCTCTTGCTGTGTTATTTTCATTTGAATTGTCTAACCCTTGGCATAGAAATATCAATTCTGAAACAAAAAAATTTAAGCGCTAATCAGTCATTCAATCAAAACAGTCAAACGACAGACAATCATTAAAAGGATAATTTGGATAAACTGCCAATAAAACGTTTTTTGATGAAGTCATATTCAATTTTCGGAAGGGGAGGAATTTAAGTGGAAACTTCCGCATTAGAATTCAAACCCTACCAAGATACTTCTTCACGCACAGAGTCGTAACGAAAACGCTAAAATACAGCAAGTTGATGCATAAGTGATAACTAAGAACTCATAGCTCTAATATTTATACACGCTGCCCGCTGCGATTTTGAAATGAATATAAAACACTTAGGGTCGCGCAACTTGCCACGAAATCTACCAACGCGCAGGCAATATTTGGTGTTGCTAAAATCAACACTCGTATAACTTATCGCCTTTTGCACGCTTTGCGGGTAATCAGAGAAAATAAGAATTGAAAAAGTTACAATCAAAACTCGAACTATGTCATCACGGAAATAGCTGAACACAAAAAAAGATATCTGTAAAAATACAAACTTACCAGAGCATGAATTTGGAATCCATCGCTTGCTGTAGAATGAGCGCCTCTTACTGTATGTACTGCTACTTCGTAAGAGTAAGTACATTTGGCGTGCAGAACGAGTGACAAATGTCTTAGTTTCTGGCCTAACACCACAGATCCCCAGCTATCATCTAAAGCTGAAATAAACGCCCATACTACTAACACATTTGAGAGCCAATTCATGGCTACTGCCAAGTGCTCCTGGAGGTGGCGAAATCACGTCCCTTCCCAACAATAACCTAACGTACACTGGATTTACATAGTATTTACATACTGAGCACACAAGGCACACTAGGAATTTTATCAATATTTATCAGCTGAGAACATTTCTGTGCACTCTTCAAAGCTTACTTCAACTAACTCTAAACAACATATTTCTTAGTTCTGAGGCATCTCAACCCTGCCCTCAGTTGCTCTCAGACATGCAAGCTGAAGTCCTGGCCTCCAGAGAAAATTTCGTAGACAACTGATATGCAGTGATAATGTCAGCACAATCAAGTGACCGAACTGCAAAGGAGCTAACGCTATTTTAGGCCAGGGTTGTTGTTGCTTTAGTTTGCATTGCCTTAGATTCGAATGCTATAAAATGTGGACAAAGAAGATGTTGTTAGCTATAACGGTGATACTTTCGTGTTGTGTGAGGGACACTGATTCTTGGCGCAGAAGAAGAGGTGGAGGGGGCCCTCCTCCATGTGGTCCAAGAAATTGTGTTGTTGGTTCGTGGAGCGCGTGGAGTGCCTGCAGCCACCAGTGCGGGACTAGTGGAACACAGAGAAGGACTAGACCACAAGTTTCTCCTGCTTCTTGCGGTGGAAGTTGCCCGTACACTTTCAGTGACAATCGGGCTTGCAACAGAGACAATTGTCGGAATGGGGGAACACCCCATAGCAGCGGGTGCTCTTGTCGACCGGGTTACAAGGGGACATGTTGTGAAGGAGGTAAGGAAAAATACCAGTGGAGCATTAAGGATCACTGTAATTGGCTATTGCTGTAGCGGCTCCCCCGGTTGCCATCATTTAAAGTTTGCTAAGTATCATTTAATTATCAGTCATTTTTACTACAGGTGCTGTTTACGGCCAAGTTAAATAAAATCATGTAAATAGAAATAATAAAACTGAAAAATATTTAAAACAAATCCAGTTGATAAAGACTATCAAGGATTAGAATCACAAAAAGATCAGCAGAAAATTAATTTTAAACGATTTATGAAGGCAGAAACAAAAGAAATCCGGCATCGATGAGAAAATTATCGATCGGAACTGGGATCGAGGTGCAATACGTTTGTGCTCTCCAAATTGAATATTGAACGTAGTATTTATTCCTCCGTGAGTTAAATACAAAACACATTAACCAATAAAGCTCTCAGATCAACAGTAATCTGTATATCGCAATGGATCAATAGGCAGATGCTAGAATGAGCCTTCTAAATATTATGACTGAATATTTGCATCGCAACAATTATATTGATTCCTTGTATCGTAACCTTTTAAGGACCCTATTAAAATCGCACTACTCTACTCGCGTTTTGAAAGCTATATTGATTAAAATCTAACGCTCGAACGATAGTTTAGCAATGCCGTCCCTCACTTTATACAGCCAGGTCGTGGATAAAGTGGAATAACCTTTGCTATATGAATTCTCAGAAAATGTGGAATTCCTAAGAATTTCTAGAACTTCCCTGTGCTTCCCGGATGTACAGCTAAATATAAGTACTGGGAACATTTGGGAATCTTAAAACACGATTCTAGGATTAATCGGTAATTCCGAAATTCACCTAACGAGTCCTAAGTGAGTTCTGAGCTGTGGTTGGTTTACGGCTCAAAAGGAGTCTAATGTGGGTAGGATGAGCCCCCCGGGGACACTCAAAGGAACTCTGGGTAGAGGTGTGCCGCCGAGGCCCTCAAACCCCGACCCTATTTAAGACAAAAATTGCTCATTTCGCCACTCTGTTTAAGACAGGAGACACTACTTTCTGACCCTAATTTGCTTTGTTTTGCATGCAGAATTAAGTAATTTTTCACACTAAAATCGTGGAAACAGATTTTTAGGGGAAAAAATATCGGTATTGCAAATGTAGACCGCTCATCGCAAGACAAGACAAGACAAGACAAGACTCCTATGTACATCGACTTTATCCAAATAATTTAAAATCATAACACATATTGCACACTAGTGGAATTATAATCAATGTTAACCTAAAGAACTAATGATCTTCTTTTCTCATAGCAGTCGATTACGTATTTTGCAATTAACTTTTGCACTGGTTTGTTTGTTTTGTTTGTTTTGGCTTCCAGTCCAAAAAGACGCTTAATAGTGAAATTGTATACCCTGTTTAAGACTCAAGACCTTGAAAACTAGGCCAAATAAGGGAGTGTCCCCCCCCCCCCGGGATGAGCCTAGTATCTTCGGTCTTATCATATAACTCTGCTAAACTGTTAACAGTAGTGGGCCATACTGAATTTTAATTGAGCATTGTAACTTTGCAACGTTTAAAAAGAAGCGAACACTGTTCTTCTATCCTGGGCGCGTGTCGTGCAACGGCTCACGAGCGGAAAAGAGAGCCGGTCAGGTGATTACACATGCGTGTCAGCAGAACATTACAAAGATGTTTACTGATGCAGCAAAAATGATATTAAAATATTATTTTTGCCTCTACGCGGAAAAAGGTATTAAAATTCAAGAACTTGGCGTTCATAGTGTCGAGTAAACCCTTTATCTTGCTTTAACTTAATGTTGGAATATAAAAATACCAGTGAAAGACTGAAACATTTAACTGATATTGGAATGGTTCAGCCTTTCACTGGTATTTTTACATTACAACATTAAAGCAAGATAAAAGGTTTACTCGACACTATGAACGCCCAGTTCTTGAATCTTGATACCTTTTTCCGCGTAGAGGCAAAATTAATATTTAACCCATTGATAACCTTAAACCAGGATTTAAAAGATAGTTTTAAGAGATAGTGTTTAAGTCTTCATGTCCCCTATTTTTGAAAACGGCTTTTTATAGGGAAAAAGATCAGATAGAGGTGGAAAAAATGTCATGAGGGAGGGAGGGGAAGGGGGAGGAGAGAAACAAACCGAAGTTCAATAACAAGCCAAAGGCCAAAGGTAAACTCTGGTAAACTGTCGGATTGAATGATCCCTAAAGATCCCTTGTATCAGTAAAAAATGAAACTCAGCTATGCTGGATGCAAAATTTTAGAGAATAAACAAACCAGTAGTAAACATACAAACTCACCAGACCATGAACTTGAAATCCATCGCTTTCTGTAGAATGAGAGCCCCTTGTGGTATGGACTGCAACTTCATAAGAGTAAGTACATTTGGCGTGTGGTACGAGTGACAAATGTCTCTGGTACATAGAACCCCAGCTATAATCAAAAGCTAAAATTAAGCCCCACAGCAATGGCACATTTGAAAACCAATTCATTGCTTCTGTCAGGCACATACTGACATACTGCTGCAGGTTGCGAAATGACTACAGGGGGCCAAACTGTGCAAAACGTGACTAACAATAATTAAGTAAACTATTTTACGTCACAATAGGCTGGCTAGGAATTTTTAACAACAATATTTCTCCGTTGAGGAAATTTGTATCGGACCAGCTTTAGGCTTACGTGCGTTGAAAACATTATCGGTAACAAATTCCGACCCACAGTCAAGCACTCGGTTGTTAAAAGAGCTGTGATCATTCCGAACGAATCTGAAGCGCTGTTCTCACAAGACCATTTTGTAAGACCAGTCGATGCAATGTTGCAGGCCGTCAAGTGAGGACAGTGAGAGAAAAGCAGGGCGCGAGATAACGTCATTTATTCGGCCAAGCTGCAAGTTTTAAGCTTAATCGTCACAGTTTCCTCCCTACACTAATATTCGAAGGACGATGTGGAAAATTATGTTCACGATTTTTTCACTGGTGGTCTTCTTGTGCGCGCAAAATGTTGATTCTTGGCGCCGGAGGAGACGCAGACGGGCTCCTCCTCCGTGCAGTGCCAGAGATTGTACAGTTAGTTCGTGGAGCACGTGGAGTTCCTGCAGTCACCGGTGCGGGACAAGTGGATCACAGAGAAGGACAAGAGCACAGACTTCCCCCGCGTCGTGTGGAGGAAGTTGTCCGTACACTTTCGATCAAACTCGCGTGTGCAACAGGGACAAATGTCAGAATGGGGGAACACCTCATAGCAGCGGTTGTTCTTGTCGGTCAGGTTACCAAGGAACGTGTTGCGAAGGAGGTAAGAGGTAACGTTGGTTGACGTTTCTTAACAATTCAAAATTGCACTTTGAACGATAGTTTTTTAGAGTTGTGATTACTGGTGAAGAATCTGAAAATTGTTGCTTAAAAAGACAACTGTTTCTAATATTAAATTAATCCGCCATGTAAACCGCACCGGAAACCACAAAACAATTATTAAATGCCTCATGACCTCTCAATGTTCCACGGAGACTCATTAGAGCGGCCAAATTAAGATTTGCTCAGTAGAAAATTAAAATACTCCATGCACTTCATAACCTACGAGCTAAAAAGAAAAAAAAGAAAACCGTTATTGTTTTGAAGAATACTTAGGGCGGTCACGTTTCACACTCATGCGCTTATGAGTCGTGTTCAGCCAGTCAACACATTATTTCAAATCCAATTTCCTTTCCTTCTGTTTCTCGACGCTAATTCCAAATTGATACGTGCTGGAAAAAAGAAAAAAACTCTCAAAAAACAGTTATCATTTCGCATAAAGAGAGGATAAGACCTCTTTATCCTCTCTTGTTTCGCATTCATCGCAACTCTCGCACCCCCGACGTTAAAGGGATTACGATGGGTAGAGGGCCTATATGGGGATTCATTCTCTGAGATTTATCTCCAGGGAAAAACGCCCTGGGGACGAGGTTGTTATATTAAAAACCTCCCAACTGCACATGACTGATGTCATGAACTGGTGGAGGGTAGATCAAAGGTTAGGGCGAGGTCAGGGTTAAGGTTCAGTGGAATTTTCTAAATATTTTATCCAGCTTGTTGGAAAAAAGAGTAACCGAACTTCAAATGAAAAGCTTCTGGAGGCAAAACCAACCTACAAAGTACAAAGAGCGTCCAAAGTTTTGCGTTAAGTGTAATTACTCAATTGATCAATTTGTTTTGAGAGACCTATTAACCAGCGTGAAGTTTTGCGTTAAGTGTAATTACTCACTTGATCAATTTGTTTTGAGAGACCTATTAACCAGCTTCAACAGTTCAAAACAAATTAAAGGAAACGTTGAGGCGATGTCGAGACAAAGTTTAAAACAAAACAAAGAAAACACGAGTTCAACTGACTCCTTTCAATATCTCACAACAATAAAGAAAGAGTTTCTGCTTTTCACAAGTTTCTCGATCATGTTGAGACCTTTTGATCAGGGTTTTAATAAGTGATATGACACCCCAATTTTGTCTGGTATTGAAGTCATTGCCGCGCAAATGCAAATTATTCTTGTATGCAAAACTCAACACTCCTTCCCTCCCAAACTATTGAATTAACAGTAATAGCACTTACAAAGATGAATGTTGAAACAAATAGATAAAATTTATTTATAAAATTAAAGCGTGTTTTACATTAATACCGTGTTCGAGATAGAAGTTAACAGTTTACGAAAGCTAGTAAAAGATTTTACTTGTCTTATATCAGAGGGCAAAATGTTCCACAGAACAGTCCCGCTGTAGCAGAAGCTATTTCTATAGTAATTGGTTCGTGGCAAGGGAACAGCAAGATTGTTTGCAGAATCTCCAAGGTTATAAGAATTAAATAAGTCGCTGCGTAATATGAATTTTGAAGACATGTAATCAGGTGCAAGGCAATTCAAAGATTTATACACCATCACAGCCTTCTGAATATGCCGCTGAGTTTCAGGGTTTTGCCACCCCAAGTCAGTTAAAAGTATATTTGCATCTGCATCATAATTGGAGTTTGTGAGCACGCGTGCTACACGGTTCTGGAGTCGCTACCCCATACCATGCTGCAATATTCAAAATGTGGTTGGAAAAGGCCATAACATACATCATGCAAGGCGGTAGGGAGCAAACAATGATTGATGCGTTTTATAGCTCCAATACAAGATGCAATTTTCTTAGACAAAGCGTCAACATGGTTTTCCACGTTAGATTTTCGTCAATAAGCACGCCAAGAGACTTAGAGCATTGAGAATGTTTGATAGGAACGTTATTTATATTCAAAGAAGGCAGAGAAGGTAGATTATTAAGTTTTTTCCTTGAGCCGGTTAAACCGAACTCAGTTTTAGTCATATTTAGCGTTAATTTATTTGCGATAAGCCAGCGATTTATGTTGAGCAAGTCCTCGTTCAGGGAAGACTGAATGGAATGGATATTACTATACGAATAAGTCAGATGGGTATGATCACCACACATTCTCAGGGTGAGACAGACAATTGGGCAAATCATTGATATATATATAGCAAAAACAGTAAAGGCCCTAATATTGTTTTCTGGGGAATACCACACTTGAGGTGCAACATTCTGACAGCATTTTGGCACCCTTCTTTTGACTTTTAAACAAGGTATAGATTACCATCGTTATCGGCTTGCACTATTTGGAGTAGGTTACATCTATCTGCTCGAGACGAGGAGATGACTTTGTTTACGATGAGTCAGAGAAAACGGGGAAGTGGAAGCATCCGTAAAATGTTCAAGATGGGCAGCTTTTACCTAATGATAGGAAAATTACAGAAATCCGACCGGATTTAGGCGACATCAGATTCTAAAGTCACGAAAAGAAAAGCATTAGAGACTACATACCCTTTGATAACCAAGTCATAACTAAGAATTCCCCCACCCCACTCAGTACAGTATGTTTCAATGCACAGTGTGAATCGTGTTAAATAGTGTTCTGTTCTTGCAGACGTGAATGAATGCCTGCAAAATCCCTGCCAGCACATCTGTACAAATACATTCGGAAGTTATACCTGCCAATGCCATTCATGCTACACCAAACTTGGAACACGGTGTGAACTGAGACAATGCAAAATTAGTGGCTCGTGTTACGCTTATGGAGCAGTGAACCCCAGTAATAAGTGCCAGGTAAGAAAAAAATACAATAGAGAGTTTAAGAATTGACACACGCGAGTCCGGTAATTGCTCGTAGAACGACAGGTTTTTACTCAAATCACGTCGTTTGACCGAAATTGCGCAGTGTGTTCGGAGCTTTTCACATTGCGTCAATCTGCTAGTTCATCCAGTACTTTTAAATGAACCCATATCTCGCATCCTAATTTTCATTTAGATTAACAATTCACTTATAACCTCAAAAGTACAAATAAGGACAAGGTCCTGTACTCTCCAACCAGTAAGAAGGGTCGAATCCAATACACAATTTTGATATGTGCCCATTATGCATACCGATTTCACCTCAACAGTATCAAAAATATAAATATAAGTAGATGGACGACATCGTCAAAAATGTTCATTTTGATTAGGGCTTCAAGTGTCAACACCAGATAACATAGCAAAAACCAAAGCCAAACATTTGCAATAAGAAGCTGGTCTTTTTCTCGCACACGTTAATTTTAAAATATGCTACACTGATTGTGATGGGTGTACCATCCAAACAATTTGCCCGCTAAATTGAAAAAGTTGTAATGTTGGTGAGGGAAACTATCTACTAAAAGTATATTGTTGCTGCAGTCTAAACCTTTTGGTTCAAAAAAGGCTAATTAATAAATTCGCTTCTGACAGGACTGTAACAGTGCCAACAAGATGGCCTGGACAAACAATGATGCATTACCTTGTAGTGACGGTGTGCCGTGTACTAGGAACGACCGTTGTTCAGGTGGTGTTTGCTCTGGAACACCATTCACTTGCCTTCCGTGCGAAGAGTGCTACAACGACGCGTGTCGCGTTAAGCCCGGTTACTGCGTTATTCAGGATGGTGGAGTTAAGAAGTGTTTTACCCATGGCACCTTACGTCCAGGATATCAGTGCCAGGTACAAAGCCCTAAATATATATTTTTTTTTTAAGGGTGGGGGGGAATACCTGTGGCACGGCCCAAGGGTAAAGGGAGCTTTTTGCGCCGAAAAACGACAAAATTTTGGATAGACCACCCAGAAGGCATTGCATGTCCTGCCCCCTCTAACAGGGCCACCATTGTGGCTTTTTGCGGGAGGTAATGGGTAATTTCAAGAGGGAGAACCCCCTCCATCTTAGTATATCTAACTTGATCCACAAATGAAGAAGTCCAGAAGGTCTTTATTTTAGTCCAAATGGTCTTCGTTTTAGTCCAAGGGGTCTTCGTTTTAGTTCAGGGGGTCTTTGTTTTAGTCCAGGGGGTCTTCGTTTTAGTCCATGGGGTCTTAGGTCTTAGGTCTTCGTTTTCGGGTCTTCGTTTTGGAAACACCCAAGGTTAGCATGGATTGCTATCGCCGAATGGTCTACAGGCGGCCCAAGCTCGCTACAAGAACACGGACGTGACTCTTGCTTGCGAGCGGTGTTGTGTTTATATACAAACGGTTATTTAGAGAGGCTTGGATGGGATGTAAACGGTTTTTCTTAGAAGAGAGAACAAATGTTGTGTTTTTAAATAAAATCGACTAACCGTATTGCCTTGTTGTATTCTTTGTAGTTTGCCCGCGTCTCAGGCCGTTTTGAAGCATTTTAGCGCTATTTTGGTCGCCGAAAACGCTTCAAAACGGCCTGAGACGCGGGCAAACTACAAAGAATACAACAAGGCAATGAGATAAGTCGATTTTATTTTTTAAAAAAAACCGTTTACATCCGATACAAGCCTTTGTAAATAACCGTTTGTAACACAACACCGCTCGCAAGCAAGAGTCACGTCCGCGTTCCTGTAGTGCGTTACGGTCGCCTGTCAATGGTCTCGCTATTGGAACACAGAGTCTTGCTCTTACGCTTCCCCGTGTATCAGTCTTATTTGTTTATTTCGTGGCTAAACCTGGAAAACAACTAGTCACCTAGGTAGGTAGACTTTCGACTATTCATTTCAGTTCTTCCGATTCATCAATGACTTTTCCACGTTGTTAAAGTCGTCGCTTTTTCTGGTAATTTAAGGAGCCTTCTCTGACTGAAAAATTGCCTATAAACCGTCTCTGTTAGTCTCCTGCAGTAACTTACCTTACCGTTTTCTGCCTTCTTAAATTAACATGTTCTCTTCCAGCAATGTGACAGCAATAACAAATATCAGTGGACCAACAACAACAATCTCAAATGCAGTGACAACAACTTAAAGACCAAAGATGACCGATGTATCAGTGGCGCGTGCGTGGGCACCCCGTACAACTGCCTTCCGTGCGAGACACATGACGGACGGGGCTGTCCAATCAACCCAGGCCACTGCATTATACAAAATGGCAACCAAAGGACTTGCTACGCTAAGAATCATTACAAACCAGGAAACCCTTGTCAGGTACAAAGATAATACTTTCGTATTGTACTTGGTATCCTATTGTATCTTAATCTGTCAGAAGGTAAAGATTGTGACATCGATGCAATGAAGCTCTCTGAGGTAAGAATAAGTTTACAACAGATTAATTCAGTCTGTACAAAAAATACTAGCAACCACGATTGAAAACACATGATACACCAATTCAACCCAAGGAGGGCTACGTGGCCTCAAACCTGATAAGTAAGTTAAACTCGCAAGAATAGTGCAGGGGAAAAGAAAAACAGTATCGTTGTTGAAATGGCAACGACGCTGATTCTCTTTTCTTTTGGTCCATAGATAGTTGAGCATTTCCGTTCCCTTATTGTTGCAAAAGATGTATGCAAGCGCCAGCACTTTTCTCGGCAATAAATACCCAGTACACGGAATATGCTTCAAAAATCCGTGATTCAGAATCACACCTGCTATAGCAGACGCTTTTCTCCTGACACTTGTCACCGTCTTAACGTCATTTACTTTGGAAACAAACACCACAGTTATTTAACTAACTACAAGTCTGATAACTTCTGGTTTCCATCTAATTTTAAGTGGTGTAATCCAAGCAGCAGCACGAGCACCTGGACAAATCGCGAAGGCGTGGCATGTGATGATGGTGACAAGTGCACACGTGGTGACACGTGTCGCAGTGGCCAGTGCAGTGTCACCCCATTCACGTGTAATTCCGGGTGCCAATACTGTAATGGCTCTACCTGCAGTCTGAAAACAGGATTTGGATTCGTAAACAACAAGTGTATGTGCAAGATAGCAGGTGTGTAAATGAATTTATACAGCAAACTCTTACTATCCAGGCATTTTCTTGGGGCACTAGGACTATATTGCAAGGGGTCATAGGGGACCTGCATTTAATCTAAATGAGATGATAACCACTCACGGGAAATCTAAACGAGCGCTCGCTCGCAGGTTACCTTACAGCCGATTTCCAAGAGATAAGTCAGCTGGTAACAACAAGGACAAAAACAGGACGGATCATGGACATAATTAGAGTTAACGTATCTTAAGAAGCAATCCCACAGCCTTTTAGGTTCTTGACACAAGTTTTATTGAGCACGTAGCGAGCTGAAATACGTTTTAACTTACTGAGGACAAAAAAATGATGGGAATGGGGTTTCCGTTCCTGTATTGATGTTGGGTACACTTTTGAATTTAAAGTTTGAGATTTAACTTCCGACAATAAGATTTACAATGTGGATCAATTTAGGTTCCTGGGAAACTGCCCACCTACCCCTCCCCTAAAACAACATTTTACTCTGAACGAGAAGTGTTAATGTTGGCTTAGGGGAGGGGTAGGTGGGCAGTTTCCCAGAAACTTAAATATTTATTGATCCTACTACGTAAAGGCGACATGATTACCAAATACAACACACGCTTTTCTTCACACCTGGTAGGTCAAGACTATAGACACCAGACCTTAAATCCGTCAAACCAGTGTCAGTGGTGTGACCTGTACGACCCAACAGCTCGTGCTAACAGTGCCTGGTCAAACCGCCCTACTGTAGCTTGTGACGATCAAGATGCATGCACCCAGAAGGACACTTGTAATGCCGGCAGGTGCTGTTAAAAGTCATTTTGCTAAAATAAAATGCTGCTGAAATGATTAAAGATATACAGTGATACTCCGTTAAATTTGGCCGTATTATCGAGGCAGGGAAAAATTTCATGACTTGGGTTTGTAATAAAAGATACACCATACATCGGATTCTCACTTCTTGAACACCTGCAAACAACCGGAATGATCTCGCGTACAGTTATTGTAAAAGCTACTTTAAACTTTCCTTTCCTTTCCTTTCCTGTCCTTAGAAATTGGCTATTTACACCGCCAAAAACACATTTTAAGTGAGCCGTAGTCTAAAAACAATAAAGGTCAGGCTTAGCTTACTAGGTCAATGAAATTGAAAAGACACAGGCATATCAATTTTCTTATTTCGAATGAGTGGCCGTATAGACGAGGTGAATTATGAACGATTCTACTGTTAGGGATTTAAAAAAGGGGCCGCTGACCTTATTAACGGGTGATCGCTTTAACGAGAGATTTTTATTAAGAAAATGTATGGTCGTTTTACATTGGTCATTGGTCGGAAACCGTAAACTCGAGACTCTACAACAAGACTTCAAATCTTCACTAGAGAACTAATTGTCCACTCTAATTAGAAAAAACAAATTACTCGAATACTGTACTCTCTTACCTTTCTCCATACGGTTAAACCAGCAACCTCACAACACGTTCACGTCACCTCTTTGCAGGCCCAAAAGAGGCCGACTTCGAATCGTTCGAACGTTTCTTATTAAGGGAATTCGGCCGTAAGCAGATCTTAAAACTGGTATACAAATCTTTAAACGATATATTTACTGAAAACATGGAACGAGCTCTTTTTATATCAGGACCATTGCCTACCAAGGCATATCCTGTTATTACTAATGCAAACTGTTTTTTCCTTCCATTTCCTTTTAAATTTATTTTGAACAAATATATGTGGACTGTTCTATCCTCTAATAACTCTGTTTTATCTTACACTGAACAGTGGCGGATCCAGGGGGGGGGGGCGCTCCCTTATTTGTAGACCAAACGGTGGCCCGAAGGGCCCAAAAGGATTTTCAGACCGACTTCTCCCCCCCCTCCTCCTATCTCAGGTTCTGGATGATCGTTCCCTCACCTTATCTGAAGGTCTGGATCCGCCACTGCTGAAGCATGCGCATTGTATGTGAGCCAGTTAGATTCCAGGCTTTCTAACACATAAATAAACAGCAATACAAGAAAACAATTCTTCAGGATGTTAAACTACAATCGCAGCAAACGTTCACCCGATATTCACCGGGATAATCCGGGGCGCAGGATCGGATGGGGAATTGGGAGGACCTAATATGCCCACCCGGGACATGAAACCGTGAAAAGCGGGATGGATTGGAATGTAAGTTACCTTGGAACCACCTTTTTGGAGTTAAATTATTTCAAACATTGGACAGAGTTTAGGTTAAGTAATGTTGCCTGGAAAGTGCCAAATGTTATGAGCACCTGTTTCAATAACTCCGTGAAAAAATGGTCACGGTAGGGCCGGCGCGTCCTTCCAACCAATCCAGTGAAATAAGATTTAAGGAATTGTCGCATTTTCATCAGGTGTTTAGGCCAACCATACTCTTGTCAGTCATCTTACCCGTCTTCAAGTTGTGTCAAGACTTCCCAGTGTGTTGGTGATGGAACGTGCAGAGACATTATGAGAGCTGCAGGGACGATTTGCCGACCTCCTGTCGATGTCTGTGACCAGCCTGAAAGGTAAAGAACGATGAGGAGGACGCTTCTGTAGTGAACAAACATATCCTCGTTTATGTGAAAAATGTTCATAAGTGCTCTGGATCATTGCACCCTTTTTCTCAAATGGACAGTAAAAATTCAATTATACTTGAAACCATCTGGAAAAAATTCTTTTAGATGTCAAGTGAATGGTAACGATTCATTGCTAACAGTCCGGTTACGTTTGGATCCATAAAATCTGAAAAGGCCGCTCTTTTTTGTAGTGGGGGAGGGGGGAAAACAATCACGCTTACGATACAGTAAAAACCCGCATAAAAGAACGAGTGGATTAAGAACACTCAGGCTGAAGTTTGGTTTAAAAAATCCATATACATATGAACACATTCAGCCTGAAAAATGAAAATTGATCTTACACGAAAAAAATGGCTGCCAGTGAGATTAGAATAACCTGCTAGGGTAATAGTTACATGGAAGGAGGGAGGGAGCAGCTGGTGCATTTTGAATTTGCAATACTTTTCCTGAGTTTCGAGTTGTTTATCACCAGAACTGCTACCCCCCCCCCCCCAATGTAACATTATTGCCTTCATTAATACAGTTAAGGTTAGTTCCATTCATCCGTTAATAAATTAAAATGGTTTGCATGCACATTGATTTCATCTGTTGGTAGTCTATGCAGTATTTAGAAACAATTTTAAGTACACCGTAAGAACATTTCAGGCTGATTTTGCGGAAACGCCCAATATAGAAGGACAAAATCAGCCTTAACCCCCAAAACACGGTTTCTTTTATACGGGTTTTTACTGTATAAGGTGCTACTCCTTCACATAATAGTACAGATCATCATTTTTCTATAAGCTCTTCGAAATTTCTGATCACCTTTTTCTTCCCTAATGCGAAGGGATCGGGAAAAAAGGGGTGGTATTATATGGAAGACGCTAGCAACACGGTCCCCATTTATTATCTAGGTGTGATGGTAACCTTGGGACATGTCCCGGAGCAGTGCAAGACAGGATTAACATAAGAACTGGCATAGCCCAATTCATGGATAGCACATTTCAGTCAGTTGTTAGCTATCAGTACCTCACTGACAAACTCTACCTTCGTGTCTCTTTCTTTTCTGTCTCCTGTGGCCATTTGACGTTCAAATGGTTTTTGCTATCTGCATCTTCCGCCTGTACCACTGCATCACCATTGAACGGAACATTTCCTAACAGTAACTCGCAGCAAACTATTACAGGTAGGTAGATGTAATTTTTCTAAAATAAAACACTGCTCAGTAATGAATACACCAGTGTCAACCATGGAACGTGTCTGTGGGGTCATTAAAAATTAATCAATGGCTGCTGCTCAATGGAAATGCTTTGTTTAATGTTCGTAGTTAAATCAGTTAAATGTAACACAATTACATCAGAGGACGTCTTAAAAATTGTAGACCGGACCACCCTTTTAGCATAAAAAAATGGAAAATACCGCGCAACGCAAAACCGGACGTTTCGAGGTTGCTCCCTCTTCCTCAGTGGTTTTTCCGTGCCCTTTCATGCACATTTTGATAAACTTTGTGAAAATCTCTCCCCTTTTAGGCTGACTTCCTTCTTACGTTTTGTTTGTAAAATGTATTTTGAGGTCACCCGTTCGCGATTGATACACGACTTGCAGGGGCTCTCGCAGTGAGGCTATTTACAAGGACGGAGGAAAGGGAGCTTGAAGTAGTCTGAAATTAGTCACTCGGGAAAGCTTAAGTTAAAAGGCATGCTTATGTCGCGTGTAAATTTGAAAAAATTTACTGACTTTCAGCAGGGGCCAGACATGTTTTCATAGTTAACGTTCATAGGAGCACGAGAACACTTCTGGATCCTAACATAGTAGTCCGTAAGTCGTAATATAAGGAGCAGAGGGAGGGGGCTCCGGAACCCTGAAAGTACCAAGGATACGTTCCCTTACTTGCACAGAACCCAAGAGTCTTCCAAAGCATGTCTGCTCATGAATTGTGTAAGACTTGTCAGAGGTCCATTTGCAACTTCTCGCTTCGTAAAAGGAAGCAAGTTAACTTTTTGACTTTTACGCAACTGTCTGGTTAGCCCGAATTTCAGCATCCGATTACTTCGAGTCGTTATTACTTCCTCAGTAATAACGACTCGAAGTAATCGGATGAAATTCAGGCTACTGTCTGGTTACTGTTGATCCAGTTTTTCCACTGACGGCAGCGGAAATGGAAGCTTTGCTTGCTTTGGATAACAGCTAGTGTTATGAAAAGTCCATGAGGCATTGAAGTGCAAACTATAGTAGTATAGACCTACATAGTCGAGTGGAATTTCTGCATCATCACCTTCTTTCTAAAGCTATTCCAAAATTGCCCTGTAACTTTTCACTCCATTTTCATATGGCGAAACCCCGAACATGTTCCTGGGGGCTTTGAGTCCGAAAAGGCGAGAATAAGTCAAATCAGCCAGATATAAAATGGTACATACAAAAATTTTAGATATGTCTAGATACGAGGCCCCAGTTGTTCAAACGTTGGATAGCGCTACCCACCGTATAAATCACTATAAGTATTACGGAAATCAGTTACGCTATCCGCTGGATAGAGATTTATCCCATGGATAGCGCTATCCAACGTTTGAACAACCAGGGCCAGTTCTTTAAACGTTTAATTGATAGACGGTTTTAGGGGTCCTGCTGTTTAAACAGACCGTCTTACATTGTTTGGACGTGAGACACCTCTGAAGTTTTCGGTGCCCTTAAGTCGAATGAATCCACGCGCCAGTTGTTCAAAAGATGGATAACGCTATCCCCCCGGATAAATCATTATCCATTGGATAGCGCAGTTGGTTTCCATAACACTTATCCGTTGGATAGCGCTATCCAACTTTTGAAAAACTGGGGCCAGAACTCATTTGTTTGCTCATATTTGTTTTCACGTGTTTATAGCTTATCGCATGCATGAAACTTTTACAGGGCTTATTCTCCAGAATAACAACAGGTATAAAGTTTCCATACAAGCTTCGGATATAAGAAACAACGTACCTCAACTTGTTTGTAGTGGTGTGGTCGACATTGATACATCGAAGCCAAGGGGTGGTTGGATTCACGATGGGCCTGGAGCTGACCTTAGTTACCAAGACACTAAATTATTGCAAGTAAACTGGGGTGGAGTAAACACAAGAAACGGTGTAAGAAAGTACGACTGGAAAGTTCTCATAACCCCCTTTAACACAAATCAGACCACCGAGCTTATGCCATTTACGACTGTTTATCAGCTCATTTTCGCACAAAAATCTTTTAACAGCATCACAGACGGCTCAAAAGTGAAATTCGTTGTTCGAGCTTACACCCAAGCGGGACTGTTTTCAGACCTCACAAGTGACGGGGTTGTCATCGACACGTCACCACCTATTGCAGGAAGGGTCTATGATGGTAATCAGGTCGGCTTTGATTTGAAATTCGCTAAATGGGCAAAAACGTTCAGCGCAAACTGGGACATCTTTACTGATTCTCATTCTCCCATTTCACGATACACTTGGGCGGTAGAGCGGGTAGGCACCGGATTAATCACGTCATTTAAGGACACAGACCTTAACCGCATTAGTACAGCAACTAACCTTAATTTAGTTTCTGGTGAGAGCTACTGCGCAGTTGTCACAGGTTATAACGAGGCTGGTCTTCCCACCACAGTCAAATCAGACTGTGTGTTGATAGACCACGATGTACCGCTAGGTGGTACTGTAAATGATGGACACTTCCATGATGTAGACTACCAATCAGAAGACACCATGATAGCAGCTAATTGGAATGGTTTCAGTGATGGAAGTAAAGGGAGTGGAATTGTGGAGTACAGATACAAAGTCACAGAAGACGGTGGAGGTATAATTGTTCCCTGGACATCTGCTGGCAATGCCACTAACATAACGCTTAACGGGTTGGTTCTTAAGAATAACACAAAATACTTCGTTACCGTTAAAGCAGTCGATGCAGTGGGACTTAGCACTGACATTACTACGGATGGTGTTACTGTAGACACAACACATCCTGTGTTCACAGGAAAAGTGGTCGTTACAGGGGTAAATGACGTTAAAAATGGAACATCGTGTGTTTACATTTCAAGTATATCATCAGTAAAAGTACAGTGGATTGGTTTCTCAGACGCACACAGCGGACTTCAGCGATATGAATGGGCAATCATCCCCGCCGACAAGTCACTGTCAAACTCTGACTTGACAGAAGTTTCTGGGTCCAATCTGCCTACATCTGCAATATTTCACAATCTAGCACTTATTCAAGGAAAAGAATATTATGTCATTATAAGAGCCTACAATAGAGCTAAGTTATATAAAGACGCGTACTCGGTCCTTGTGATACCTGACTCCACCCCTCCATCACCTGGAGAAGTGTTCGACGGACCAACATACAAGGTGGACATCGACTATCAGGCTGAGATTCACCATGTCTATGGATCTTGGGAAAATTTCCCCGAGCCTCATACTGCGGTCAAGCAGTACTACTATGCGGTGGGAAGCTGTATCACTGGAAACTACCACGTCACAGAAAATGCATTCGTTAAACTACATCCTCCGACGGCCACTTCTTTTGTGCTATCCAACGTCACACTTGCTAATGGCCAGCGATACTGCGTGAAAATCAAGGCTGAAAACAAAGCCGGTTTGTTTAGTAACGAGATATCCTCGGATGGCTTTATCGCCGATGTGACACCACCGGATACGCGAAACGCCCAGGTGCGAGACGGAATGACAGGTTCGGACATCGACTTTCAAGACAACACCACAGCATTATCAGCACAATGGGACGGTTTTGCGGACCGCGAATCTGGAATTCATTATTACGAATACGGAATAGGCAAAAGTCGTGGCAGAAATGCCGATGTTTTTTCTTTCAAGAATATAGGCCTTAACACTTCAGCTACTGCGGGTGGCCTATCATTAAGTGATGATGTCTATTACTTCATCGTCTGCGCCGTAAACAAGGCCGGGCTGCGCCAGTGCCTCAGCTCAGATGGCGTTCTCATAGATTTCAGCCCTCCGAGCCTTGGGGTGGTGCACGACGGGATTATTGAACCCGATCTGAAATACCAGTCCTCTTTGTCAAGTATGGCTGCTAACTGGGAAGGAATCTGGGACTTGGAAAGTGGAATCGCAAAATTTGAGTGGAGCATTGGAACCAGTGCAAATGACAAGACCAGTGTTCAAGGCTACACTGATGCTGGACTCTCAACCCACGTTAGAAGTAAAGCTGTTCTTAATCTATTGAGTGGAACAAAGTATTACGTTCATCTAAAAGTCACGAATCAGGCAGGAGCTGTTAGAGAACTTGTTTCAGATGGCGTAATAGCAGATGGGACACCTCCAAAGCCAAGCGTAATCTACCCAGGTTTTGGGTCGCAAGGCGAATGGATATACAGCGACCAAGAAAGTTCCTTTTACTCTGCTTCAGCATCAAGCATTGCAGCTTACTGGACCCGATTCGCCGAACCTGAAAGTGAGGTATGGTACTACAAGTGGGCCATTGGTACAAGCAAATGTGGCACTCAAGTGCAGCCACTTGTTAACATTGGCCGGTTAAACTACGCCAATACGACAACGTCTGATCTGGTCTTTAGATCCGGTATTAAATATTACGTTACGGTAACATCAAGAAATCGGGCTGGTCTTGTGTCACGGTCGTGCTCAGATGCCCTGGTCTTTGACAGCACTCCACCACGTGCAGGAAAAGTTTACGTTGGACAGTCTTCAAACAAACACAGAACGAAAACCTTCCATGACGGGAAGGGCATTATTATTTCATGGAAAGAATTTACAGACCGCGAAAGTGGCATAAGCAAATGTAATATCTCTGTAGAGAATCAAGTGGGTGACGTTCTGTTCTTCCACAGTAGCAATGAAACTTTAGGTAATATCTCTCTTCCTCACCATGTCCACCTTTCTCATGGCCAAAGCTACAATGCAACTGTCGAGTGTGCAAACCACGCAGGCCTTACTTCCTCTTCATCTACCACTTTCGTAATCGACGACACACCTCCCATTCAGAACGGTCCCATTATAGCCGGTGTTTCACGTGATCAACATTATCAATATCAGTCGGACAAAACCTCTGTAACCGCCACTTGGACTCCATTTACAGACCCAGAAAGTGATATCAGGAATTATCAATTCGCCATGGGAACTCGACCCAGCCTAGACGACATTATTAGCTTTGAAGACGTTCATCTCGCAACTCGAGTAAATAAAAATGGCTTAAGTCTTCTTCAGGGAGCTGTCTACCACATAACGGTGATAGCAACGAACTTTGCAGGTTCAAGTACAAATGTATCATCGCTTGCACTGAGGATAGACACTACACCCCCCCTAGGTGTTAATGGCTGCGTCCATGATGGACCAAGTGGTAACGATATAGACTTTTTTTCTCCTAATATAGATCTTGCAGCGCATTGGGAGGAGATTAATGATGCTGAAAGTAGTATCGTAGAAAGCAAGTACTGTATTGGAACAAAGCCTCGGGGTTGCCAGATTCAAGCAACCAGAAGTGTTCAAGGGAATAAATCATTCATCTGCCCGACATGCAAAGCGAATCCAGGAGAACGAGTTTTCGTTACAGTAACAGCCACAAATGGAGCGGGCCTGTCAGTGACTCGCAGCTCCAATGGAATGGTATTAGATGTTACTGCTCCTCGTATGGGCTCCGTTATTGACGGAAGTCATGTAACAGGCGTTGACTACAATGTTGTTCTTGAAGAGTGGAATGTCTCCATGTCTTGGTTTGGTGTGGAGGATCCTGAAAGTGGTGTAAAATCGTGCTTATGGCGAGTACAGGACGCAGATGGTTACACAGTGCTTGAAAATGAGATAAGCAATAATACAGTCTACGGACAAAAGAAAGTCTTTACTCGCCCTCAGACATACCTTGAACTAAACTTTCTAAAAAACGTCACTTACTATAATGTAATAACTTGTTGGAGCAAAGCAAAACTGCACAGGACAGCTCGTTCAAATGGGTTTCGGGTGGAATCTGTCTGGCCTGTTCCGGCATCCGTCAGAAATGGCAAAAAACAAGGTGTTAATCTCATCTATACAACGAGCACTAGAATTATTGGTGCCAACTGGGATCCTTTTACAAGCGACATGACGGACCCAGTTGTTGACTACGAGTGGGCCGTTGGCACGGCTGTCGGTAAAAACGATATCCTACGTTTTACTAGTGTAGGCCTCAAGACGAGCATTGAAAAAGACTTGGCACCCAACGCACCAGGAGTTGACGTTTTGGTTGCTGGTCAGAAGCATTACATCACTATAAAAGCTACGTCTGCTGCCGGCTTGACAAGTATCGCGAGTTCAAGTGGGTTTATTGTAGATCCGAGCCCTCCAGTGAAGGCAGAGGTAATCACTAGTCACGTGGTGACTGACCAAAAACAGCGCATAGTCGAAATTCATGTTTCTTGGGATGGCACGCAGGACTACGAAAGTGGCATTGAAAGCAGCGATTACTGCTTAGGGACCACGCCCCTTACATGTGTGGACGGTGCTACAAGTGTCGGACCGTCTACAGCCGGGACCATTGGCCCGTTCAAGCCTGAACCTCAAGCAGGTTATTACGTCACTGTAATTGTTGCAAACAGAGCTGGCCTTAGATCTGTCATGTCTTCCAAGAAGCTAATCTTTGACTCAACGTCTCCAACCCAAGGTACCGTAGTTGACGGACTGGGCCAAGACATTGATTTCACGGATTCCATGAATTCTCTTTCGGTTCAGTGGGAAGGCTTTGAAGACGAGGAGACTGGCATTGCTAGCTGTTCGTGGTCACTAATAGAACAATCTGCTTCTGACAACAGTTCTGCATTTGGAAATGACACTGTCGTGTTAACAGAGTCTGTGCCAAGCAGAGGTAACCTCACTCGAGTAAATCTCAATCTTGTCCCAGGCGCCCGCTATGTTAGCAAGATAACTTGCTCGAATGGGGATGGTTTCAACTCCACGTCCTTCTCTGATGGGATCGTTGTTGACGTCACGGCAGCTAGTTCTGGTCTAGTACACGATGGATCGTCTCTTAAAACTGATATGCAGTATCAATCCTCATCATCAAAGGTAGAGGCAATATGGGAACCTTTCAAAGATCAAGAAAGTGGTGTAGTGAATTATCGCTGGAGCATAGGCACTTCACCAGACAGAACTGACGTTCTAAACTTCACAGACGTTGATATTAAAACCTATGCCAAAACATCAAACCTTACTCTCACTCACAGTCAGCGATATTACGTGACTGTTGAGGCCACAAATGGTGCTGGAATAACTTCTCATGGATGGTCTGATGGCTTCCTCGTGGACATTTCTCCGCCTCTTTTAACAGAGGTAAGCGCTAGCAACTCTTCAGAACCAATCACAACTAATCGTAATTTAAATCCCAACTCAACTTAAATTAAAAGCAGTTTTATCAAAGAAACAAACATTACCTTGAAGTACCAGATTTATTAAAACAGTGCACAAGCGACACAGTTCTCACACCAGGGGAACTGTTTACATGTTTTCAGACCAAGAAGTGCCCAGAGGATTTTTTTTTGCATTGTTACTCAAAAATTGCTTGAATTTCTGGGGTGACTATTAGTGTTTTTGGCCATGAAGAATGTAGAGCTACTCTATAGAAAAGCCATTATTAATAAAAAAAGTAACAATAATAATAATATTAACAATATATTTATTATTATTATTATCATCATCATTATTATCGTTAGTCCTAGTGGTAGTAGTAGTAGTATCAAATTTATCTAAGGAACAAATTAACACCTACTGAAGAGAAGAGTTTCTCGCTTAAAATTTTATTGAACAAAAACGTCGTAGAGAAAACCTTCAAGAGGTTGCATGCACACCCTCGTTCTTCTGAGAGGTCAGAGCAATTGTGTTTTTCTAATTTTCAGCTTTCAAGTAGCTCAAATGTATGGCTCGGCCCAAAGGACAGCCTTAGCGCCTCGTGGAAATCAAGCGATCCCGAGAGTGACGTTATAAAAACTGAATTCTGCGTGGGAACGATTTCCATTGGTTGCCAGATTAAATCTATGACTGAGCTACCACCAAATGCCACCAATGTCTCTTGCGATGACTGTCGGTTAACCCACCTTGGATCATACTACGTCACAATCCGAGTGACAAACGGGGCCGGTTCGTTTACAGTAGCAGCAACGAATGAAATAAAAGTAGACTTAACATCACCAGTGGTCGGTGACATAGTTCACGTGACGGATGTCACGCCGTGCGTGAACAACTGTACCTTGATTGCAAACATCTCGTCATTCCTCGACAACGAAAGTGGTATCAAGTTATGCCGTTATGCGATACGAAACAGCAGTCACCTTTTGGGAGACTTTGTGAACAACGGATTGGACAAAACTTTGAGAGCGGCAGGTCTGCGGTTACAGACTGGTGAAAGGTACTACTTTGTTGTTAGGTGCGAAAATACTGTTGGACTTGTCACGGAAAAAACGTCTATTGTGCCAGTGATTGTTGACAACACACCTCCAAAGAAGGTAAATTGAATTTATTTAGAGAACTCATAGTCTTAACGCTGTTGCTGTTGTTTGATGTGCCACTAATCCTAAGCGCTCCTCCCTTGGTGAACGTTATTCCCTCGCCGGTAGGTGATACGAGTTAAAGTTTGTTGAAATGTCCATAAGCAAGTAACGCATTCGCAAACCAAAAGATTTATTCCCTGTTTAACCTACCCGGGCAACAAATATAGCCTTTAGCCTTTCCTGAACAATTGGCTTCCATCACCCTTGTTCTGTAACGAGAACAAGTCGACACTTCTATGAAGCATGATGCTTATAATTAGAGTATGTGGATATAGCCTTAAAAGGCAAATGAATGGCAGCTTGCAAACAACCTCGTTCCCAGGGTCCTTTCCTTACCGTCCCTGCAGGGACTGATAGGAGAGGACCCCAGGGCGAGGTTGGCTTGTAAATAGTTGCGCCATCAAAAGTGTGACTGGTTGAGGCTTCTGACAATGAAGGGCTTCCACTTTCGGTCTCACTGAAAGAAGAACCATCACCTGCAAGCACGGAAATGCTGACATCTGAATATCAACTTCTTTGTTTTTAGGGTTCAGTTATAGTGAGCGCAGACCGCACGCATGACGTGTTTGGCATTCACTCAAGCTGCCACTTATTTAACAGAACATTGCGGGCTCACTGGTTTGGTTTCAATGACGAGGAATCAGGCATCAGCGGCTTTCGCGTAGCAGTGGGAAAGAAACCCAATGCAGTGGACGTTTTGCCTTTTCATGACGTTGGCATGACAACAAATATCACCCTACTCTTGAATAATACAAGTGGGCTGTTTGATGGGGACATCGTGTATGTAACAGTAGAGTCAAGCAATCAAGCTGGTCTAACAACTTACAGCAGTTCGCCCCCTACAAGGCTGATTTCAGCAGACAGCGATGCTTATACATCTGAAGGAGACTTTTACTGCTATAATGTTTAATAACTAACTCCATTGCTATGAATATAATAAATCACCAAGCCACAAAAATAGAGCTAGGCCCGGTCTCCCGTTGCATGTGGCTAAGAGAGGACGTTAGCATCAACAACGAGTACGAGTACGAGAACGACTTCAAGCCGTACTCGTACTCGAAGTCGTTTTCTCAGCTTTCTATGTTAGCGATGACACCGAGTTCGAGTTTATAGAAAATAAAATTATGGGATTCCGCATGACAGGGCGCCAAATCTGAGTCGAGGTAGCGCTTCCACAACAATTTCGAATACAAAAAATGACTCTAAAAAACGATCAAGACTGCTTGTTACTCAGTTACATGGAGCGCGTCTATCCTACAGTTTTCACAGGAAAATCGATTTTTCGAGGTAACTCGAAGGATGGTTAGTCGCGGTCTTAAAACATGCTAAAACCCATCAAATTCAACACAATAGCAACCACACTGGATAAAGAAGTAAGTATTCTTTATTGATATCTTCGACTGTTGAGATATTTTCGACCAAATAATGGCAATTTTCGAGGTTATTTCGTGAGCCTGTGAGGCCTGTGGAGAGACATGAAACTTTCCCGGGTAAATGCAAATTTACTGTGTAGGAAATATCGCGTTCGGTTGCTTTTCCTCGACTTCAAAAGCAGTATTTTACATAAAACATAATGTAAGGAATGTTCAAGATGATAAAGAGAGGCTAGAAACGAAAAGAAACTGCATTAAACGATCGGAATTTACCTTTGAAAACCAGCTCTTCCCAGTCGTTCTACCCACTTCGAGTTTTTGGTGAGAACTCGTCGTAGTGCAACTTGACAGGCCGACTTGAAAACGTGGAGATGCGCAGAACGTATACGCAGTACGCGAAATCGCTGATCTCGTTCTAGAACTCGTACTCGTTGTCGATGCTAACATCCTCTAATTATGCCCACGCGACGTTTAGTTACGTTAAGAACGCAATGTAGCTAGGCCGGCCTTGAGGACATAAGCCAGAACGAGTCAGAGGGGACTAGTGGGGGGCACGCACTGCAACTTACGTAAATATCTTTTTAGGAAAATCTACAAACATTACAAAGATTCAGAAAAACGTCACTTTTGCTTGTCATAGTTTAGCGCCTTTTGTCCTAGGACCTCTTGAGGTCAGCGGATGTTAGCTTGGAGCATGGAATCGAATGAAAAAATAACATGTCATAAAACAACAAAAATTAATGAATGAATAAGTAATAAACAAACAAATTAATTCAAGAATACAAGCTTTCTGGATGTCGTCAAGAAATCTCTCTAAAGATGATGTAAAATTTTGCGGCGGGTAAATTGTTTGCTGTTGTTTGTGGTCCTTTCATAGACTTACAATTTTTTTTACGAACTTGACGGGGAAGTAGTGTACTTTCGATGTTTTCTCTCCGGAACTTCGGTTTATTGAAGGTTTCTTTTAATTTCGTTGGAAATCTAAAAATTTATACTAAGGAGTTTCTTAACGTTTGTACATGGAAAATTGGGGACATATAAGGACTCTTTAAAAAAGGGTTGGTCTAGTCAAGGTAAAAAAGAGGCAACTCTTTGTCATCAACAGTGACCATGAGCGTGCGTAAAGCGTAGAGTAAGGTAATTCTTACTCTTTTACTATACCGGTTACGTTATTTACATAAAGAAAGTCAACGGGGAGCAAAAGGGTTACTTTTAAAGTGATCTCGCTTTCTTTAAATTTTTTTTATCACCATTTTTCCAACTCAATCAGTGTCTATCGAATGTAACCTAACTCTCCTGGAATTTAATTATGAATTGTACCTAAGTTCAGAAAGAAAGAAAAAAAACCGAACGTCTTGCCATATTTGCGTCCTCCATTAAACATCAGGAATTTTTAAGTGGCTATAGTTGAGCAATAACGACAAAGAAATGAACTAAAGAGTGTAACAAACACGCTAAATTATTGTTATGCCTGTTGAAACCTGTTGCTTTAATGACGATCGCGTTTCTGTGATGTGCGCTTGCCTTGCATTTTCCACTTTCATGCAACGCCTCCAGACTTCTTGCCTCGACTTACTTTTGATAAATGTAGGCGCGTGTAAATGCGTATAACCATCATTGGGAAAACGTTTTTGTTTTTGCTGTTAATGTGAAATAAATTAAGATAGTTACGTAGCAGAAATATTACAATTGTTGTATGGGAATTTTAGCGATCGTTATTTAGGCCCGCAGGTACACATAAAAATTTTCACGGGGAGTCTCCGCTCGGAAGTCCAACCTCTTACCCTTTTATATACCATTTTTGACAGAATAGGAACCCTATACCTAATCTCTTGACAAATGGTACCCCGTAGTTTAGAAATATGAAGGAAAAAAACAAAACAAAACAAAACAAAACAAAACCAGAACTATTTTTCGAATTTTTCACAGCCATAAAAAGCCATAAAATACATCTTTTAGCCCTTTTAGTTTTTTAGCAGACCGAAAAGACAGATTTCCCTACCCTTTCATATACATCAACTAATGAAATCCTTACCCTTTCAGAAACCTGAAGCTCAATTTAGATTAAAAAATTGCAATAAAAATACATAATAACACCTTACCTTGTCTCGCTGTTTTATTCATGGTGTGCTCCTAGCATATATAGCAGGGGCACCCAACGAGGATATAGTTCAAAACCACTTAACATAGCATTGTTGAACGTATTTTAGTATTTAAACGGTAGATATAGGCATATTTTTATCCCCTAAAAACTTTTCATCTGTTCGGATTTCCTAGCTGAAAGTCTAGTGATCCGAAAATTATAGGGATCAAAACCTACCTTTTCGAAAATTTCAGCCAGGAAAAGGCTCCCGAAAATTCTAGGTGGCCTTTTTTAGGGTAAATATCCGATTAAAATGGGTAATTATACCATTTTGTAGATGTTCGAAAATCCTAGGAGAGGCAGGCAAGCAAGAAATTTTACAACAAATGTTCCGAAAATTCTAGTTCTCAAATCGTCTTCCGAACAGATATTTTCCCGAAAATTGCCGTTGGGTGCCCCTGATATAGCCATTTCAGCGAACAACGGCAGAACTAAAACTCGACGGAATCGCGCTGAAACGGTCAAATATGCCACGAACACACCATTAATAAAACAAGGAGACAAGGTAAGATCTTACTATGTATTTTTATTGCTATTTTTGAGCCCTAAATAACGATCGCTAAAATCCCCATACAAACCCCTATAACAAAGTTACGCAACGATTCTCACTCGTGAGCCTGGGTTAGCTGTGGTTTGTGATGATCATCTGATCCGCTGGTGGATCTCCTGAAATTCTTGCTCGAGGTCTGCTCAGTTACGACTATTTTAAAATTTTTATTAAATGCCATTTTCGAAGAGAGCCCTCTCCGTGAGCTGTGTCGCTCTTATATTAAGGCAAACTTCGCTGGTAGTCCTGGTAAACTACGTTTAAATTAAATCAACTTTCAATAATACGGTCGCTTACTTCGGCCATAACCGGTCATTACACAAAGTCGCACACATCTCGTTGATTGACTTTCTAGGGTAGAATATGAAGGATATTAAACTTCAGGGTACTGGAAAGCTTAAAAAATGTCTTGGTTTTATATACTTATATCAGGAGTCATTTATGTGTACTTGTTATAAATACACAATCAGTATACATTAACATCCTCACAATGTAAACGTCTGGCATTATATCCCTCTATCGATACTCATTGCACTCCCCATTTGTTATTTCAGCAATGTCTAGGAACACCTCCATTTATTCTAAGACAGCGTAGCAGCTTCGTAACAGATTTGAACATCATTATACCACTTTTTTTTCGTCGACAATATTACATTCTTCTTTCACACGAACTAACATGTCAAGCTTTTAGGCCAAAAAAACAGTTCACACCCTAATACCCTGGCTTTTTTTAATAAATGACGTCATAATTATTTTTTCTACTGGTTAATTTAGAACTGTTATTATTTCATTTGTAGTTCCTACAGTCGAGGTTTCGGAGAGAGGAGACGGTTTAATAATTTATATGAGACAACAATGAAAGCAACAACTGTAGTTTTAGTAATTTACCAAGTCACAAGCCCAAAAATGGAATGAGCTTGAAAAGAGCGGTGAAATAAATCGTGTGTGATAACGATTTTGTCGAATAAACCAGAACATTTCTCTTTGTTTTCACCATGTAAATTAGTTCGCCTGACTGTCATAAGCAGTCACGCGTAGCGGAACAGGGTCACATCACTCGTTAAGAAAGTCGCGTGATGTGACATCTGCAGATTAAAGTCCGTTATAAATACTGTGCATCAGTAAATCCCATCATCGATACAGTGTGAATATTCTTCCCTGGAAAGTTCGTAAACGTTTCAGCCATTATGCCGTACACAATTCTTTATATTGGGGTACTGGACTGGGATCTAAATAAAACGGACCCTCACGCGGAGGACATTGAAAAGTACGTAAAATCCCTTAACAGCGAGGCAAGATTTGTGCATTTCTATCCTGTAACAGAAGGTTATTTCATAGAAATCAATGCTGACAATAACTCCGAGGAAGGCCCTGAATGTGTGATTGTCGCTGATGGCGAGCGAATCCCTGCCGAATCGATTAATTCCGTGTGGTATCGCTGGGGAGTTGGATGCCGTAAAATATCAGAGGATGAAGACCTCCACAGTAAGGCTTTTTGTTGATAATTTTGAAGTAAAAACACCCTCATCGACATGCGCTCTTTCCTTTATTATAACGTATTTGATAAAACTTTGGGGCTTAGAATAGGCAAACTCATATGACATAGTTTAGGCTGAAGTTCAATTAAGAACACTGTATTCGTAATTCCAACGTAAATGTTGGCGTAAATGTCTCGCTACACATGTACCTTTTTAAATTTCTTCAAAGCACACGTGTACCAAATGAATACTCCACATGACTCGGCCGTGCTTCAAAGCAAAGTGCAGCACATTGAATAATTAACGAGATTGGGATGAGGCTTTCGTTAGCCTGTGACCAGGCTCCACGGGGGGGAAAAAGGCAAAAAACGGGGTCAAATAGGAAAACACTCTTTCTCCTCCCCAGACTACCTCTTGGCTCTTTTTTTTTCGCCCACGCCGATTTTTTTCTCCTTTTTCCCCCGATGCAGGGCCTGGTCCCAGACTAGGCTTTCGTATGATCTAATCCGCCGAGGCCGATAACAGCCACAGCCTCCTCGATCTGTATTATTCTTCAGATCATGCGAAAACCTCATCCAATAATTCATTTGTTACTCATTTAAAATAATATATGCCTAGTTTAAACTACAAACAAAAACAGTCATGCTTACCTCGATCGACTTAAGTTATCGTCTTCATTTCCCTGATTCTCGGCCAGTCCAGGATTTTAAAGGGTGTTTAGTCCACCAGTTATTCTTCAAATAGCAGTTGTCTTCCGTCGAGTTTTATTTTTTTCTGCTTTTACTATATTTTCAAGGAGCAATTCGGCTTTTCATTTTCTTTTTTGCAAAACGTGTGAAATTTTCGCCATTTCTTCCAGCTCTACTAAAAAACCACGCGTCATCTTCCACAAGGTTCAAAGTTGTCCTTGTTTGCCATCCCTTTTTCTCGCGTTAACCTTTCCTTTTTTCATCGGATACCGCTAACGTCTTTCAAATTTGGTCAACGCTAGCCGGTTTTGAACAATTAGCTAAGAGATTTGAGCCAATCAGAAACGGGAAAATATTTTTAAAAAATAATAGTAGTAGAAAATAAGATGGCATAATAAACAGTACCATTCCGAAAGCAAACAAGTTTTTTACTCAACGGAAGGGAATCAAATCCCATCTCGACGGCAGTCCTAATATATGTAAAAAAAAGCAACTTGGCGGACAGATTTTGCATTCACTTCTTCGTCCATATATATTTCAGCATGTCCGAGGTATTAATCGCCCCCAGAATAAGAACTTCTATCCAGCTCAGGCAACGTTTCACAATTAGATGTTTACATTAAAACCGTTTATTTACCTTCGAGAATATGTTATTTTAAACTGTTCTGTTTATTTATTCATGTATTGAGTTATCTCCACAATCATCTCGAAAGCCTAGATTCAGGGATAATAAGTGGTAATTTATCCACATGACCCAGATAAAAAAACGTAGTAGTTTTATTCTAATCCAACAGACGTTTGGTAACACATTTAAAATCTTAAAATAAAAAAGGTACAAAAGTCCACCGAGAGAGATTGCCACTCATTTTTCGTAATTTTAGCATGCATCGCCAAAGATTTCGCGTGGAGAGAATGGTGGTCAGTAGTCCGTTCCCTGGAGTCCTATCTCTCTCATGCGAGATGGATGAACCCACTAAGTTCTACGGGCATTGTGGATTGCAAGCCATATCAGTTGTTTCTAGCGCAGGAAGTTGGGTTGACTGTGCCGAAAACCACCATCACAAACAACCCGGAGGCCGTGTCAAAAATGTTCGACAAGGCGGATAACGGACGAGTCGTATTCAAAACTCTGACAAGGCTCTTCATACCGCCAGACAAGCAAGTTCTAACAAGGGAGATACAAAGAGATTTTACGACCCAGTCCCGGATTAGCATTACCAAATGTCCGGCAATTTATCAGGAACTGGTGGAAAGAAGGTCTGATTTACGCATCACAGTGGTTGGAGACAAGGTGTTCCCTGTTCGCATTGACTCGCAGGCCCTCGATGAGGAAAGAGATCGCTTGGATTGGAGACGGTGCCAAGAAAAGGAACACCTTTACACCAAAGTACAGGTACTGCTTTTTCCACTTACGCATTTTATGGTCAAAAGTATTTTATTTCAGTTCAAATGTACACCTTCTTGCTCTCTTTTCGTTAGATCATTTCCAGATTAAACCGTGATACGGCCAGAGCTTTGGATAGCCTCCGACGCATGCGTTTTTAGGGAAGTCGTATTTCCTCCCTCAAACGCCTGCGTGGGAGGTTAAGCTTTGGATCGGTAAAGATTGGTAGCACGGTCACGGCACATGTGTGACACACGTGACTCACGCACTAGAGATCTCAAGTTTGCTCTAAGGGAAAAAAATTTTGTAATACCCGGCATGGCAGCAGCGCAAGCGTCTGCAAGAAAAGGGGAAAGGGATTCCGGGCGCGCGAGAAGCGCGAAAAGCGCACGAGGGGGCAGCCACGCAGGCTAGAAGAAAACAAGCAAAAATGAAATTAAAAGCCAGAGCTCTGCTTTAAAGCTGATCAATGTGAAATGTAGCTCGTGACATAAACTAAGCCAGTTGTTTGTTGCATGGGATAAAAAAAGTTATCTTGCAACTTCAATGAGCCATTGGTGCACATTTTGTCTTCTCCAATTTAGAAAATTTAACAATGCTAAAATGACCAATTGTCTCCCACGAAATAAAATGAGTTCAAAAAAGAGATCAAATACCCTGTAGTTTTTTTACGTTTATATTTCTTTGGCCCAGTCGGTATATAATGGCTTAAAAAAGCGGCCTAATATCAAAACCTCTTAGTTCACAGCGTACAATTGCAATGTTATACTGAATTCCATTGTCTCCTTACAGCTACCTGAATCATTCACAGACAAGCTACTACAATTCCACAAAAGAGCTGGCCTGGTTTTCGCTGCGTACGACTTCTTAGAACGAGGAGATGAATTCATATTTCTAGAGAGTAATACAGATCTCTCCGCCTGGCTGTGGTTGGAGGAATTTGTTGGTATAAATGTGTCCGAGAACATGGCACGCTATCTCTTAGGAATGGAATAACCCAATTCTTTATTAGTCATAAATTGTGAAGACCGTATTTATTCGATTAACCGCCCATCCTGTGTGGAGGAAACGTTGATAAGCGCCCAACACCCTTCTCCCTAAAAATACTGAAGTCCACGAGAGTTTTAATTATTATTTCTTTACTGCCAAATCTTCTTCTGGTCGACTGACCCATTTAGAGACGTTACGCTGTGAGATATCCACGAGGCAATACCAGAGAGTTCGCTTATTGACCTTACTGACAATGAGATAGAAATCGACTAAGTACTACCACTAAGAGACCTCCTGAGGACCGAGTTCTGAATCATTTTTAAAATAAACTTTGAATGAACAGTTAATTCTGCTGAGGTACATCTTAACGTTTTGTTATTATTTACTGCTTTGTTGGAAAATTAACTTACCACTTGCTGAAAATAATAAAAATTTAGTAAGCGCTCGCCTCGAAAAGCCGCCTACTCTCAAGGCCCAAAAATTTAATAAGCGCCCAGGACGCCTAATCGAATAAATACGGTGAATATGTAAGGGTTGAAGATGACACTGAAATATATGGAATTGTGAATTCTTTTAGCAGTGAAGAGTTCAATATATATTTTTTGAAAATTGGTATCACTTTTTTTAACTCGTCACGTACAAAAAACACTTAAACTAATGACTAAAACTAACCAAAAACACTTTAATTAATGACGAACCTTCAATAAGAGATCCAAAAACGATACTCTAAACAATTCAAAAGAAGGTAAATACAATTTAAATAACCACCGGCAGTGAGCTTTGGAAGTTAGAATATTTGAGGGCCGCGAGATTGGGGATTTTAGTGTAAAAGGAAGCAAGCGAAACTCACGATTAATTCCATAAATAGGACACGCCATTTGGGCATTTCGCTTCGATCAACAAGAAAAGTGTCCTGTACCTTCTAAAACGCGGTTATAAACGAAAAAAACGCTCAAAAACTTCACACATTAAAGTTATCGTCATTTCTCCCGCCCCCATCTTCTCATCCGTCAACTGTAACTCAAACATATCCTCTTTTTTGACTACTTGCCACTAGTTTTCCCAATAACCCCAGTTCTGACTTATCTCTGGTTGACTGACACATCTATCTACTAACTACGTTATTAAATGAAATTTTCGCGACATGTTTATTTCGCGATTTTGGTCTGCGCGTATTTCGCGACACTTAAATCTCGCGATTTTTGTTGTATCGCGAAATTCGCGAAATTAACGTGTCGCGAAAATTTCATGTAACTAGAGGTAATCATTGATTACGGATCCGTGTTCGTCACTCGAGTCGAGAGGACTCCCGTTTCCCGGCCGAGATTCCTCTGATAAAATCAGCAGCGGCGGCTAATCGGCAGTCCTCCCTGATACCTCGAAAATTTGTAGCTTTGTACCACAGGACAACCAAGATTAGGATGCGTTCTGACGAAGGCGATAACGCAACTACAAACCGTAGCCTGCATAACATGCGCGTATTTTGCCTAGTGCGAGGCGTAAGATCAAGCACTACGCCCTGACTAGGCTCTGGGGCTTCACGCTTCCATCTGTTTCTCGGCCTGCAGGGCCGGGCTGCGATTTCAAGGCCTCTATCCAATGAAAGATCTCTCTCGGAGGATGTTATCCAGCTCAGCCTTCAGCCTCGATGGTTAACATCCTCCTAGATCTGCATAATTCTTCATATCCAACTCAACCTCATTCAACAATTACTAATCAAACAGGCTATACGCATGCGCATTGGCCCATTGGATTTTTCTTGTTACGACAACTAAATGCAACGGCTATACGCGTGTATGTTCCAAATAAATCCACCCGAAGTAAAGCACGTTATTACCGAAGACAAGGCAAAACGAGTTTCCATATAACTGCCATTAGTAAGGCTCAATAGTTCCCTTTGACCAGTATACTACCTGAAATAAGCAGCAGAAGGAAGGAAAACTTTCCTTCAAAAATATCCCTCTGAGTTTATGAAAGACGGATTAATCTTTGAACTGCGTATTTATTTCAACTACTCTTTACACTGTTCATGTTACAAACAAAGAAATTTATAACTAAACAAAAATCAAGGCCGGTTTCGTTTATGTGTTATGAGCAATAGTTTGGTTCACCAGCTCTAAGTAAGGACAATTGCTAATTCTGACATGACTAAGCTTGGATGCACTTACATCAAGATCCCGAAGGTTTGAGCACGATTCTATAGAAAGACTCTGTACACACTTCACATGTAAGGAAAATTTCTTCATACGAGGGCAATCCAGTAGGCGAAGCGCGCGAATTTCTTCGCACTTAAATCGCATTGCGCGCCCGTTTTTGCTATTTGCCAAAGAGCATTTCCCGATTATGACATGTTCAACATAGTCTGAGTTAAGCGTGATCGCGCCAATAGTCAAACCAGTAAAGTATACTGCGTCTATGCGCCGCACAGCGTTTAGCTCCACGACTAGCGGCCTCCGCCATGGATGTATGCCGGTGATTTGAATGACATTCGCCTCGATGCAGTGTACAGTGACGCGATTGGCGCAGCCGACATCGCACATTTGAAACTTTTTCAAATGCTTTGTGCGTACCTCTATATCACACCCAGCCATGTTTTTGTTGTTTCTGTGTTTTGCCGGTAAAACCTCTCCAGAGCATTTGAAATGCTCTAGAAAAGGGCAGTCTACTATTAGCTTAGAGAGACTCATGCTCACGTCACGGATGGTAAGCTGTTTCAAATTCCCACAGTAGTTACTATTGAGTTCTATTACTCCCCAGTCCACTGATAACTCCATCTGCTTTACATTTGGACATTCAGATAAGAAATCATAGAACATTGCAGACTCAATCGCCGGACAGTCATACATCAGCAGGTCATGGATGCTCTTGCAATGTAATTTGATTTTAGACAGTTGACAATTTCCCCGTAGGATGAATGACAGTATATTTGTACCGAGTACTTCAAGCGAGAGAATATGATGACATTCAGAAATGAGGATAACTTCCAATCTGGGCATCACGCATTTTAAGCATTTTACGTTTGTGCTCGGTAAACCTGTCAGAAACAACGTTGTAACGCTCTCAGATTTAAGAACCACGGAACTCAAAGAGCGCAAACTCCTTTCTTCTGAGACGGCCACAAAGAGCTGCTTTAAACACTTGAAATTGTCCACATAACTCACTAAGTCTTGAGTAGATAAAGGTATATAGTGTAGATCGAGGCTCACAAGAATAGAGGCGTGTCGAGAGTTCATTAAAGCGTTGATAGGAGAAAGAGACGCCAGTGTATCGCTGGAAATCTCATCCATGCCGTACGGAGCACACTCAAGATGCAGCTCTTTTAAACGCAGCTGGTCAAGCACTGGTATGATCCCGTAACGATAAAGCTTGAAAATGTTGATGTTTAAAGTGAGCGATTCCAAAGATGTGAACTGCCGAGCAAGGACCCGCAAATCCCAAACCCGAATTCCGCGTCTGTGTATTCGCAAATATCGGTTGCCACTGTTGGCTCGTCTCTTTAAGAGTGCCCTGTAGTCATCGATGGTCAAGAACTTTAAAACCGGAGCACTCTTTAAAGACTGCGCGAAAACTCTACTCCAGGAAAGCACTGGTACATCTAGTCTTGTTAAGTTCGGAAGAGTTAGAAGTAACCGCCTGAGTTCGGGGCGAATAAAAAGCGACTGATCTTCTGCTCTGACACACTGTATAAATTGACGATACCTCTTTAAACAGTTTTGCAGTACCCTGGCATATTCGTCCTCCAAAGTTTCTCTAGCATCTCGATCGTCGTGCAAGTGAATGTGTCTCCAAAGAAGTCCGGTGTTCTGAATAATGCGTTCCCACCTTCGGCATATGATAGAATATCCAGCAAGATCTTCATAGATTGGATGAAAGCAGGACAGTATTTGTGCGATAATTTCATCTGGAACAATGTCCATGATATCGCTCTAAAGTACGAACAGCTTTTTTTTGCATGAGAACAACTGTGGATTATGACGAAAACATCGTTGGGATTTACTCGCGCAGTTGAACGATTTTTCGCGCGCGTTGATGTATCCTGCGTCAACAGTTTTAAATTTTCGGCGCGCGCACTTTCAGCCTTTTACATTGACTATTTTCGAATCTCCCATAATACACTCTGTTTGTCCTCCGAATTTGCATAAGTTATTGTTTTCACATGCTCTAGGGAACATGCAGTCCCCACAGGAGCATTTGAAAACAACAACTTATGAAAATTTGGGGGTAAACAGAGTGTATAATGGGGGATTCGAAAATAGAGAATTGTAAGTTCTGCTATGCACATTCCCGTGTGTTTCAAAAGTGAAGGTTCATGTTCTGCAAGGCTTTAAGTTCAAAAATACAAACAATCATAAAAATCAGCTCGTACTTCTCGACAAAACTAAGCCTCAGCTACCTCTTTTGCTCATCCGTTATAAAAAACCCAGACTGTTCGCTGTTCCAGCCATAGCAATGGCTTCCAAAACATGTCTATAATAGCTTTGAGAAGGCAGTGTAAATGTTATTTCAAATATTTCTTCCAGATGTCATCTAACTTTTTCGTCTTTTGACAAATCCCAACGTGTGACCATTTAAACGAAACCTTTTTGGCAGCGCCGAGTTTTCGCGATTGCTGTTGCTACTGTTGTTTCGGTATATCTGCTGTTTTTGTTTATTGCTTTATAGGTTCATATACGATATGAAGGTTTCTCGTGAAATGTATCAATGAATTCAAAGCAAAGATTGGAATTTTAAAACAATGGATCAGTCAAGAGCTCCACAAAGCCTCTGTAGCATTATGAATGGCATTTTCAGCATCATCGTTAATCTTCCTGCACTGAAGAATCACATCTGTTGAGACACATATTACGCCAATTTAGAGCTGGCAACTGGCTATGTGCGCCCCTAACGGTTTTTCTACGTAAGCCCCCTTTTTACGAATTTTATCAATATTGGTTGGGGCGTTTTTTTTTTCATCCCTAATTAGGCATGGGTTAACTATGTGCTTCAGGAAAAACAAATGTGGTATATTCTGGCCTTAATTATATAAATTACCATCTTCGCTTAATGGTTGTCTTTCTAATGAACAAATACTACATCACCATCAACATGTTTATAGAGTTCTCCTCCTGACCATTTACTGAAAAACAATATTATACATACGTTGCGCTGTACGATCAGAAGTTTGGTGAAGCCCAGATACAGTGGCATGTCGTTTAAATTTAATGCAAAACAAAACTAAAGAAATTGTACTTGCAAACCGCGTTCTGACCTGCAAATCCTTTCTCAGCTTCTTCTACACTTCTATCCAGTGAGCGACTAGAACAGAGCAGCTTTTCTATAATATAATATAATAGAATAGAAACGTTTTATAAGGAATTATCGTGGAAAAAGTTCCTTATAAAAACCACCATTTAATATAAATTAAGGTTTGCTTCTCGTATTGTCAACTGGTAGAATCCTTTAGGCCATTAATTGAAACAAATATTACAGTTACAAATTGTTTCTTACAAAACATAATTACTTCGGCGGAGCGCGAAGTAAAGGATTCGCGACGCTCAAGAATGCATCTAAGTTCACATTTTTGGGACTAGATTAGGCACGTTAAGTCAGTAGGTTTTCGGTTTTATTCGGCTATTTGACGAAGTGAGAGCCAAATTAGTTCGAGAACTCGCGAGATCAATTCGATTTCTTTGATTTATTCTTTAACTTATTCGAGGAAGAAAGAATTAGTATTCTGACTTTCCCCGGATTTGAACCAACTCACCTGTGTGACCTGTCAAATCAGAGGACAGTCTAAGTTGAGGGATTAGCCGTTTCCACTACTACGACCCAAGGTAGTTCGGAAAATGAAAAATAGCTATGAAATAATAGGGAACAAGGGGTAACAAATGGATAAGAAGGGTAAACAAAAAGGATCAAGGGGTAACAAAGGGGAAAAGGAGGTAACAAAGAAGACCAAGACGTAACAAAGGGGAACAAAAGGGAAAAAAGGTAACTAAGGGTAACAACGGTAACTAGGGTTAAGAAAGGTAACACGGATAACAAAGGGTAAAAAGGGGTAACAAAGGGAACAAGGGGTAACAAGGGTAACAAGGAGTAAAAGGGGTAACAAGAGTAAAAAAGGGTAACAAGGGGTAACAAAGAAAACAAGGAGTAAAAAACGGTAACAAGGGTAACAACGGGAAACAAGGGTACCAAGGGTAAAAACGGGTAACAAGGGTAACAAAGGGTAACAACAGGTAACGAGGGGTAACAAAGGCATCAGGGGCTAACAAGGGGTAACAAGAGTAACAAAGGCTAACAGGGGGTAACAAGGGTAACAAGGGGTAACAAGGGTAGAAAGGGGACACAAGGGTAACAAAGGTAACAAGGGGTAACAAGAGTATCAAGGGTAACAAAGGGTAACAAGGGGTAAAAAAGGGTAAAAAGGGGGGAACAAGGGTAACAAGGGCATCAAGGGCTAAAAAGGGGAAACAAGGGGTAACAAGCGTAACAAGGGGTAACAAGGGTAACAAAGGAAACAAGGGGTAACAAAGGGTAACAAGAGGTAACAAGGGTAACAAGGGGTACCAAGGGTAACAAAGAGTAACAAGGTTAAACAGGGGTAACAAAGGGTAACAAAGGAAACAACGGGTAACAAGAGTAACAAGGGCTAACAAGGGTAACAAAGGGTAACAAGGGTAATAAAGGAAACAAGGGGTAACAAAGAAAAAAAGGGGTAACAAAGGGTAACAAGGGGTAACAAGGGGTCACAACAAAATCTTTGTTATCATTGTAAACACATGTGTCTGTAGGCGCTCTGTTGATAATAAAGAACCTATCTTATCTTACCTAATGGTAACAAGGGGTACCAAGGGTAACAAGGGGTAACAAGAGTAAAAAGGGGTAACAAGGGGTAACAAGGGTAACAAGGGGTAACAAGGATAACTACGGTTAACAAGGGGTAACAAGGGTAACAAGGGGTAACAATGGGTAACAAGGGTAACAAGGGGTAACAGGGAAATGAGGGTAACAAAGGCTAACAAGGGCTAGCAGGAGTAACAAGGGGTAAAAGGGGTAACAAGAGTAACAAGGGGTAAAAAGAGTAACAAGCGTAACAAGGGGTAACAAGGGCTGACAAGGGGTAAAGAAGGAAACAATGGTAACAAGGGGTAACAAGGGGTAACAAGGGTAACAAGGGTAACAAGGGGTAACCAGGGGTAACAAGAGTAACAAGGGTAACAAGGGGTAGCAATGGTAACAAGGGGTAACAAGGGCTGACAAGAGGTAACAAAGGTAACAAGGGTATCAAGGGGTAACAAGAGGTAACAATGGTAACAAGGGTAAAAAGAGGTAACGAGGATAACAAGGGTAAAAAGGGGTAACAAGGGGTAACAAGGGGTAACACGAGGTAACAAAGGTAACAAGGGTAACAGGGGGTAAAACGGGGTAAAAAGGGGTAACAAGGGTAACAAGGGTAACAAGGGGTAACAGGGGGTAACAAGAGTAACAAGGGGTAACAAGGGTAACAAGGGGTAACAAGAGTAAACAAAGGTAACAACGGGTAACAAGGGGTAACAAGGGGTAACAAGAGTAACAAGGAGTAACAAGGGTAACAAGAATAACAAGGGGTAACAATGGTAACAAGGGGTAACAGGGGCTGACAAGAGGTAAAAAGGTAACAAGGGTAACAAGGGGTAACAAGGGTAACAAGAGGTAACAAGGGGTCACAAGGGGTAACCAGGGGTAACACGAGGTAACAAAGGTAACAAGGGGTAACAAGGGTAACAGGGGGTAACACGGGGTAACAAGGGTGACAATGATAACAAGGGTAACAAGGGGTAACAAAGGTAACAAGGGGTAACAAGGGTAAAAAGAGGTAACAAGGGGTAACAAGGGTAACAAGGGTAACAAAGGGTAACAAAAACAAGGGGGTAACAAAGGGGTAACAAAGGGTAACAAGGGGTAACAAGGGTAACAAAAAGGGTAACAAAGGGTAACAAGGGGTAACAAGGGTAACAAAGGTAACAAGGGTAACAAGGGTAACAAGGGGTAACAAAGGGGTAACAAGGGTAAAGGGGTAACAAAGGGTAAAAAAAGGTAACAAGGGTAACAAGGGTAACAAGGGGGTAACAAAGGGTAACAAGGGTAACAAGGGTAACAAGGGTAACAAGGGGTAACAAAGGGTAACAAGGGTAACAAGGGTAACAAAAGGGTAAAAAGGTAACAAAAAGTAACAAGGGGTAACAAAGGGTAACAAAAGGTAACAAAGGGGTAACAAAAGGTAAACAAGGGTAACAAGGGGTAACAAGGGGTAACAAGGGTAACAAGGGTAACAAGGGTAACAAGGGTAACAAGGGGTAACAAGGGTAACAAGGGGTAACAAGGGTAACAAGGGTAACAAGGGTAACAAGGGGTAACAAGGGTAACAAGGGTAACAAGGGGTAACAAAGGGTAACAAGGGTAACAAGGGGTAACAAGGGTAACAAGGGGTAACAAGGGGTAACAAGGGTAACAAAGGTAACAAGGGGTAACAAAGGGTAACAAGGGTAACAAGGGGTAACAAGGGTAACAAGGGGTAACAAGGGTAACAAGGGGTAACAAGGGTAACAAGGGTAACAAGGGGTAACAAGGGGTAACAAGGGGTAACAAGGGTAACAAGGGGTAACAAGAGGTAACAAAGGTAACAAGGGGTAACAAGGGGTAACAAGGGTAACAAGGGGTAACAAGGGGTAACAAGGGTAACAAGGGTAACAAGGGGTAACAAGAGGTAACAAAGGTAACAAGGGGTAACAAGGGTAACAAAGGGGTAACAAGGGTAACAAGGGGTAACAAGGGGTAACAAGGGTAACAAGGGGTAACAAGGGTAACAAGGGTAACAAGGGGTAACATGGGCTGACAACAGGTAACAAAGGTAACAAGGGTAACAAGGGTAACAAGGGGTAACAATGGTAACAAGGGTAACAAGGGGTAACAAGGGTAACAAGGGGTAACAAGGGGTAACAAGGGGTAACAAGGGGTAACAAGGGTAACAAGAGGTAACAAGGGTAACAAGGGGTAACAAGGGGTAACAAGGGTAACAAGGGGTAAAAAGGGTAACAAGTAACAAGGGGTAACAAGGGTAACAAGGGGTAACAAGGGTAACAAGGGGTAACAAGGGGTAACAAGGGTAACAAGGGGTAACAAAGGGTAACAAGGGGTAACAAGGGTAACAAGGGTAACAAGGGTAACAAGGGTAACAACGGTAACAAGGGTAACAAGAAGTAACAAAGGTAACAAGGGGTAACAAAGGGGAACAAGGGTAACAAAAGTAACAAGGGGTAACAAGGGTAACAAGGGGTCACCAGGGCTAAAAAGAGGTAACGAAGGTAACAAGGGGTAACAATGGTAACAATGGTAACAAGGGGTAACAAGGGGTAACAAGGGTAACAAGGGTAACAAGGGGTAACAAGGGGTAACAAGGGTAACAAGGGGTAACAAGGGTAACAAACAAGGTAACAAGGGTAACATGGGGTAACAAGGGGTAACAAGGGTAACAAAGGTAACAAGGGGTAACAAGGGGTAACAAGGGTAACAAGGGGTAACAAAAAAAGGGTAACAAGGGGTAACAAAGGTAACAAGGGTAACAAGGGGTAACCAGGGGTAACAAGGGGTAACAAGGGGTAACAAGGGTAACAAAAGGTAACAAGGGGTAACAAGGGGTAACAAGGGTAACAAGGGTAACAAGGGGTAACAAGGGGTAACAAGGGTAACAAGGGGTAACAAGGGGTAACACGAGGTAACAAAGGTAACAAGGGGTAACAAGGGTAACAAAAGGGTAACAAGGGTAACAAGGGGTAACAAAGGGTAACAAGGGGTAACAAAGGGTAACAAGGGTAACAAAGGGTAACAAGGGTAAAAAGGGCAAGGGGTAACAAGGGTAACAAGGGGTAACAAGGGGTAACAAAAAGTAAAAGGTAACAAGGGGTAACAAGGGGTAACAAGGGTAACAAGGGTAACAAGGGGTAACAAGGGGTAACAAGGGTAACAAGGGTAACAAGGGGTAACAAAGGTAACAAGGGGTAACAAGGGTAACAAAGGGTAACAAGGGGTAACAAGGGTAACAAGGGTAACAAGGGGTAACAAGGGTAACAAGAGGTAACAAGGGGTAACAAGGGTAACAAGGGGTAACAAGGGGTAACAAGGGTAACAAGGGTAAAAAGGGTAACAAGGGGTAACAAGGGTAACAAGGGGTAACAAGGGGTAACAAGGGTAACAAGGGTAACAAGGGTAACAAGGGTAACAAGGGGTAACAAGGGTAACAAGGGGTAACAAGGGTAACAAGGGGTAACAAGGGGTAACAAGGGTAACAAGGGTAACAAGGGGTAACAAGGGTAACAAGGGGTAACAAGGGGTAACAAGGGTAACAAGGGGTAACAAGGGTAACAAGGGGTAACAAGGGTAACAAGGGGTAACAAGGGTAACAAGGGGTAACAAAGGTAACAAGGGGGTAACAAGGGGTAACAAGGGTAACAAGGGTAACAAGAGGTAACAAGGGTAACAAGGGGTAACAAGGGGTAACAAGGGGTAACAAGGGTAACAAGGGTAACAAGGGGTAACAAGGGTAACAAGGGGTAACAAGGGGTAACAAGGGTAACAACGGGTAACAAGGGTAACAAGGGGTAACAAGGGTAACAAGGGGTAACAAGGGTAACAAGGGGTAACAAGGGGTAACAAGGGGTAACAAGGGGAACAAGGGTAAACAAGGGTAACAAGGGGTAAAAAGGGTAACAAGGGGTAACAAGGGGTAACAAGGGGTAACAAGGGGTAACAAGGGTAACAAGGGTAACAAGGGGTAACAAGGGGTAACAAGGGGTAACAAGGGTAAAAAGGGTAACAAGGGGTAACAAGGGTAACAAGGGTAACAAGGGTAACAAGGGTAACAAAGGGTAACAAGGGTAACAAGGGGTAAGAAGGGTAACAAGGGGTAACAAGAGTAACAAGGGGTAACAAGGGGTAACAAGGGTAACAAGGGTAACAAGGGGTAACAAGGGGTAACAAAGGTAACAACGGGTAACAAGGGGTAACAAGGGGTAACAAGGGTAAACAAGGGTAACAAGGGTAACAAGGGGTAACAAGGGGTAAAAAGGGGTAACAAGGGTAACAAGGGGTAACAAGGGTAACAAGGGGTAACAAGGGTAACAAGGGGTAACAAGGGGTAACAAGGGTAACAAGGGTAACAAGGGTAACAAGGGGTAACAAGGGGTAACAAGGGGTAACAAGGGTAACAAGGGGTAACAAGGGGTAACAAGGGTAACAAGGGGTAACAAGGGGTAACAAGGGTAACAAGGGTAACAAGGGTAACAAGGGTAACAAGGGGTAACAAGGGGTAACAAGGGTAACAAGGGGTAACAAGGGGTAACAAAGGGGAAAATAACAAGGGTAACAAGGGGTAACAAGGGGTAACAAGGGTAACAAGGGGTAACAAGGGGTAACAAGGGGTAACAAGGGTAACAAAACAAGGGTAACAAGGGGTAACAAGGGTAACAAAGGGTAACAAGGGGTAACAAGGGTAACAAAGGGTAACAAGGGTAACAAGGGGTAACAAGGGGTAACAAGGGTAACAAGGGGTAACAAGGGTAACAAGGGGTAACAAGGGTAACAAGGGTAACAAGGGGTAACAAGGGTAACAAGGGTAACAAGGGTAACAAGGGTAACAAGGGGTAACAAGGGGTAACAAGGGTAACAAGGGTAACAAGGGGTAACAAGGGTAACAAGGGGTAACAAGGGTAACAAGGGGTAACAAGGGTAACAAGGGTAACAAGGGGTAACAAGGGGTAACAAGGGGTAACAAAGGGTAACAAGGGGTAACAAGGGTAACAAGGGTAACAAGGGGTAACAAGGGTAACAAGGGGTAACAAAGGGTAAAAGGGTAACAAGGGTAACAAGGGGTAACAAGGGTAACAAGGGGTAACAAGGGGTAACAAGGGGTAACAAGGGGTAACAAGGGTAACAAGGGGTAACAAGGGGTAACAAGGGTAACAAGGGTAACAAGGGGTAACAAGGGGTAACAAGGGGTAACAAGGGTAACAACGGGTAACAAGGGGTAACAAGGGGTAACAAGGGGTAACAAGGGTAACAAGGGTAACAAGGGGTAACAAGGGGTAACAAGGGTAACAAGGGGTAACAAGGGTAACAAAGGGTAACAAGGGTAACAAGGGGTAAAAGGGGTAACAAGGGTAACAAGGGTAACAAAGGGTAACAAGGGGTAACAAGGGGTAACAAGGGGTAACAAGGGTAACAAGGGGTAACAAGGGTAACAAGGGGTAACAAGGGGTAACAAGGGTAACAAGGGGTAACAAGGGGTAACAAGGGGTAACAAGGGTAACAAGGGGTAACAAGGGGTAACAAGGGGTAACAAGGGGTAACAAGGGTAACAAAGGGTAACAAGGGGTAACAAGGGGTAACAATGGGAGCAAGGGATAACAAGGGTAACAAAGGGTAAAATGGGTAACAAGGGGTAAGAAGGGTAACAAGGGTAACAAGGGGTAAGAAGGGGTAACAAGGGGTAACAATGGGTAACAAAGGGTAACAAGGGGTAACAAAGGGTAACAAGGGTAACAAGGGGTAACAAGGGGTAACAAGGGTAACAAGGGGTAACAAGGGTAACAACGGTAACAAGGGGTAACAAGGGTAACAAGGGGTAACAAGGGGTAACAAGGGTAACAAGGGGTAACAAGGGGTAACAAGGGGTAACAAGGGCTGACAAGAGGTAACAAAGGTAACAAGGGTAACAAGGGGTAACAAGGGGTAACAGTGGTGACAAGGGGTAACAAGGGGTAACAAGGGTAAAAAGGGGTAACAAGGGTAACGAGGGGTAACAAGGGGTAAAGAGGGGAACAAGGGGTAACTAGGGAAACAAGGGGTAACAAAGCTAACAAGGAATAACAAGGGGTATTAACCAAGGCTAACAAGGCTAACAAAGGGTAACAAGGGTAACAAGGGGTAACACGTGGTAACAAAGGTTAACAAAGGAACAAGTGGTAACAAGGGGGTAACAAGGGTTATGGTCAGGGTTAACAAGGGGTAACAGGGAGTAACAAGGAGGAACAAAGGAACAAGGGGGAACAAAGGAAGAAGGGGTAACAAGGGGAAACAAGGGGAACAGGGGAACTAGGAGTTATAGGGAGTTAAAAAGCTTTGCAGTGGGTTACTAGAGGTATTTTGAAGTGTAGGTCATTTGTGGTTAGTGTAAAGACGTCTGCTAGTTTGGATAACAGTGAACATTATAGCCAAAAATGTTAATCTTTTAGACTTTTTAACTTTCTTGTGAGCTTAAGGGTTAAGTTGTGTAAGGCTGCGTGCAAACGGACGCAACATTGTTGACCAACAACTCCCAACATTGTTGAATGTTACATGTTGCGTCCGTTTGCACACCCTGTTGCATGTTGTTGGATGCTGTTGCGCAAATTTTGAAACCGGTCAAACTTTACAACTCCCAACATTTCTTTTGCTCCGTGATCGCCAAAGCGTGGCGCAACAATGTTGGATCCGTTTGCACAGCTCTTTCAACATTGTTGGGGCCACGCATGCTCATTACGCATGGTTTACGAAGACTTATGGGTTGGATCCTTCCCACGATGCACTGCAGGTCCGAACATTGTTGGGAGTTGTTGCATCCGTTTGCACACCACTGCCAACGCGGACGCAACAACTCCCAACATTGTTGGCGCAAGAATGTTGGGAGTTGTTGCGTCCGTTTGCACGCAGCCTAAAGATGGCTGACACCGTAATCGCATTTTTTCTATTGCTGCTTTTAGTACTATGGAGGGCATGTAACATCGACCTTTGTACCAGGTGATATGGAATTTTTCAACATGCAAATACAAGCAACAAGACCAGACGGAAAGGATCTGGTGCCTATTTGGGCAACAACAAAAGAAAACTCGGTATGTTTATTACTTCGGCGGAGCGCGAAGTAAAGGATTCGCGACGCTCAGCGAATGTATCAAAGTTGACATTTTTGGGACAAGATTGGGCACGCAAAGTCAGTAGGTTTTCGGTTTTATTCGGCTATTTGACGAAGTAAGAGCCAAATTAGTTCGAGATGTCTCGAGATCACTTCGATTTCTTTGATTTATTCTTTAACTTATTCGAGGAAGCTAAACAAAAGATGTATGTTTAACTAGGAAAGGACCTGTGAATAAAAAGCCAACACGCACGGCCGTATGTCAAACGCGCAATGTTTTGCGTGCGCGGTGGTCGTATATCTATGAGCGGCACTGTTTATGATGTGACCTAACTTAATCCTGAGTTCAATTTTTCCCTTATTTTTCATAATACCTTACCAAAAACAGAAAAAAATAGATTTGAAGTAAAGAACTAAAACACAAGACAATTATGCAGTTAAAAGAATTAATCTCTTCAGTGAGTTGTTACCTGTGTTCCATGGTATTGTCTTGAGAGCAACTCCATGCGCTGACTCCAGGTCATGGTCTGCAAAGTTAACAACAACAGGATAGTGCATATCATGATGACTAAAAAGCGAAAGTACGCCATACACAGAATATTTACACAAGTTAACTTTATAGTACCTACTTGTAGTACTCACTATTACATACCACTTATTAACCAAGAGTGAGGTCATTACAGGGAAATCCCAGACTCAGGCCTTGATGTATTGACCGAGCGATCAAGGCCGAACAGACGAGGTTAATAAGTCATTTATCATTTGGCCTTTTCATTATAGGGCTGAGCCTGCGATCAATTAAAACCAACAATACACTACAGCTTCTTCTGCAACAAATATGCCTTTCAAGAGTTGTATCAAACGTTACAAACAACGGCTAACAAGTATCAAACCCCACAATCATAATCCGAATAATAACTGTGTTTCAGTGAATTTTTTCCATCTGTGCCTTCTAGTGTATTTGCCTTGTTATTTATACCTAGTTTTAATGTTCTGAGCAGTTGTTTTTATGGTTGATCCAATTCGGTGGTAGTTCCTACTGTTTGAGTTTTGATAAATTTGCTGACACAGCTCCTTTAAAAAAGTGCCCATAACATAAAAAATATATATATATATTTGTTTGATAGAAAGTACACATGACTACGAGAACCTCTGTGTAAAAAAATTGCGATTTCAACACGTGGTTTTCCTAGAATTTTCTAAAACGTTAAAATTTGCCGCCACTTTGGCAATCCATTTCTCTTAGGCCTGGGCCAAAAGTCGAACTTTTCATGAGATGAACCAAACTTCGTGAGTTATAGGTTCATGAACAGTTTCGACGCCTGGCCCTGTTAAGTTTGGGTTCGGATCGTCCAACACGTGAAGATCGTCCCGGGACAGACATCGATCCTCACAAGCGACGAATTAAACTAATAAATTAAAAATTTGTATGATAATGTATATTTAGCCTCGTTTCGAAGAAAATTTATTACTGGCCGGCTAACATTGCTTTTTGATCTGATTCAGTTAATTGGTTCGACGCGTCCTAAGTTTAACATCTGATTCATAGAGACGATCTTTACTTAATTTAAGTCGACCCAGATTAGAGTTTGGTTTGAGATTGAATTTGGTTTGAGTTGAGATTTTTAGTAAAACATGGAGAGGAACAGCTAAGCAAGGAATCTCTTTATAACACTGGTACTAGAACTGAACTTCAGTATGGGAATAAAAGAGTTGATACCATTACCTCTCAGCATTGCATCTAATTCATCACACATCTCATACAAATCAGCTCCTTTTCCACGGACTCTTTCGCCTTAACAAGAAAAGGAGAAAGAAAACAATCAAATCCATTTGATCAAAGGAGACAGGAGCG